CACCCTGTCACAGGTCAGACACTGCACCAGGGAGAGGATGGAGCCGTCAAAGATGTCTGAGATGACGCTGCGATAGTGAGACTGCTTCTTCTTCCTGGAGGTGAGCAGCAGCTGAGCTGCATAAAGAACCACAGCAGCAACTAATTTAAAGGACAGCCTTCACTGCTAAAGCAACCTGAAACACATCAATCCTTAGTACTTTGTGCCAATCAACAATGAAGACCTACACAAAAAAAATAAAAAATCTAAACTATTTATATATTCAGCTGACTAAATGGGCATAAAAATATTTGTAGATGCTCAGACTAAATTGCAAACTTTCACCAGTTTAAACCCATGTTATTTTAGTACATGCTGTTGGTTGCTGTTAACAGAAAATGGTCCCCGGTTTTAAAGAGCTTAATGAAGGTAGGATTTCAGGGGTGTTCAATGTGTGGCCCGGGGACCATTTGTAGCCCATGAAATGATTCTGTTCTGCCCCTAACTAGTATCAAGAATGGTATGAAAATATGGCTACCCCGAAGCCCTTCTTATATCTTTAATGATGCAAAGATTTTAGAAAAAAAAAAAAGGTTGAGCAGTTGAAACAAAAAAAAAGAAAAAATATTTGTATTTTTCATTTCATGATTTTTGTGGCCCAACAGTAGTTTAAATTTTCCGGTTGTGGAAGTTTGGATGCCATTACTGTGAAATATCCCACCAAATCGAACCCATTAAATGTGGCAACAGAAGTCCTCAGTTCTAAAATCTCCGAGTTGTTTTCACCTTTCTTGAAGGAGTAGGCCGGTCCTGCTGAGCGGAGCGGGCTGGAGCGTGGCGGACTGGACGACAGCTTGGGATGAAGCTCTTGCAGGGTTCGGACAGGACTGCAGGGGGTTGACTGCGGCTGGGTCATTGATGCTTCGTTGTCTGGCTCTTAAACAGCAACACGGAGGCCGAAAATAACTATTTACAGTATGAAGGAATGAGTCAACATAAATAATACAAAATTTAAATCCTGGCTGCTACCTGAGGTGTTGTGGCTCTGCATTTGCACCTGCCCTGCAGTAGTTGTCTGGTTGTCCTCTTGGACGTCAGTGTTTGCGGTCGGCGCAGGCGGCTCTTCCTCCCCCCTCTCGGGAACCCCGTCCTCCGCCGCCGTGTCAACGTCTGCGTCCTCGTCCATCTCCTGTGATCCGCCCCGCAGGGGGGAGCCGGACACCCTCCTCTCCTTCAACCTCTCCTTCTCCGAGATCACCATCCCCAAACCCACTCCAGCAGACGGGGACCTAAAGCCATCGCACTCGTCCTGCAGGAGGAGCTCGCCCTCCCCGAGGCCCCCGCCCTCTCCCCGGTCACTGCTGGAGCCGGAGTCGCAGGACAGGAACTCGTCTTCGGACGGGGAGCGGTCTCCGTCCTGCCTCTCGTCCCCGTCGCTCCCCTCCCCGCTCATGCTGCACTCTGTCAGCGGCTCCTTCAGTTCCTCATGCAACTGGTCCATCAGACAGCGCAGGAACTCCTGGGTGTCCTGTAGAGACAGGGGAATATTAGAACGATGAATGTGACTTCCTCAGCAGAACTGGGTTTCTGCAGAGAAGAAATATAAACTGAAAATGGCTCCTTTGCAAGACATTAGAAAAGACCTTGTTATCCTACCCTGAAAACTATTAAGGACTAAAAACTGCCACAAATAAACCAAATGATGAAACAAATATTGATGAAACACAATTGGAAATAAATGCACTACATTAAAAAATTTATAATAATAAGACAAGAAATCTTAGATTTGACCAAAAAGTCATTGTTTTTTTTAAATCCCTGAGAAATATAAATTTCATTTAGGAGTCTTAGGACAGAAATTGTAAGCATTTGTAATTTTTATACTCAACAGTCTGATTTGCTTTACTCTTTTTCTCTATTTTGCACAAAAAAGCATTTAAAGCTGCAGGAAAGAAAAAGGTAGAAATGAGTTTCTTAAAAAAAACAGGTCATTAAAAAAGGTTCTTTTGAAAGCCCACAATTGTTAAATTGCTAACTGAAACTAAAAGATACAACACATTTTTTTTTTTATTCAATCTTCCTTCTTGGGATCGTTCATCATAGCTGAACTAGGATAGTTTTAGATAAAAACACATAAATCCAGAGTTTTAGAATCATTTGACTTAACAAAAACCAGCGTTGCGGTACTGCATTGGAATAGAAATCAAAGTTCAATTACTTGCTGCGTGCTCACCTGCTGAGCATAACCTCGAAACATGGGGTTTACCAGTTTGATGCCGTGGGACAAGCTGGTCGGAACAACATAACTGGGCCTAAAATGCAGAAGGCATGTGAGAAATATCTGAATAAACAAAAACAAATAAGTTGGATGTGGCTTTGTACCGTTTCTTGTGCCAGAGCTCTGAGATGAGTTTCTGGTAGCTCTTACACAGAGCCGGTTTCTTGTCGGTCCGGACCAAGCCGCTGCAGTCCAGGAAAAACTGGGTGAGCGGAGGGCTGGAGGACAAAAAGTATGCAATGTTAAATTCTGGAGGACCGCTTTAACTCAAGAAATACAAAACAAGCTTCTAAAGCGAGCCTCATCCCTGATGATAGGGCAAGAAGAGGTGAACCCACCAGTTGGACAGGGCCTGCAGGGCAGCATTCATGTAGCAGGAGTTTCCAATATTCTTCATTCCTGTCAAGCCTAATGGCAACAAGGGCAAGACCCATGAACATATTTAACTTAGCTATGAACACGTGTACACACACAGACGTCTGTTTGTTTTTTTCCTTCAATATTTACTTTAGCAAGTTTAGTTGAAAATTAGTAAGATTTGAATGGACTGTTGATGCCAAGACAATTTTTTGCACCTCTCGGCTTAAGCTCGTCCTCCTCAGATTCTGAGCCATCCTCTTCCGCAACAGCAATCGGTACTGCTTTCAGAGGGTGACCTGCTGACTGGGCAGCTGCTTCCTGTGGGAAACAAAACAAATGCATGAGTTTCTTTTTGCAGCAGCAACAAAGTAATTCCGTATTTTATCCACAATTTGCACCTGCTCTGCAGCTTTGCAGTGGTGGGAGGCAGCTGGAACGGGGACCAGCGTCGGCCTATGATCCAAAAACACCTCCCTCTCACACACATAACACCAGATCCTGAAGGTTGTTAGGTTCACTGTGAGATTGTGCTTTATAGCCTAAAGAAAAACACCGGAAACAAAATGCTTCAGTGGCTTGTGAAACGATTTAACATTTCACATTTGTGCACAATGCAAAATTTTATTCTGTATGGGATTTTTTTCTGGATTATATGGATTAGACCGATCACAAAGTAGTGCATATTTGGGGCTTGGAAGAAAAAATATTGCGTGCATGTGTGCTACAGACATAAAAATTTTCCATCAGATGTTCTCACCTGTGCATGCAGAGTGCTGTGATCGGCGTAGGACTCGCCACAACCAACGTACGAACAATCACTCTAAAAAACAAAAGTGAATTCTGATTTTATTTTTGTTTTGTCCCACAGCTACACAAATAACAAAATTACTTACATCTTTCAGCTTCTATGCCAGAAAACAGCAGCACTTTTCAATTATATTAATGCATCACTCCATCATTATTTATTTACTCTGCCTTTCCAATACAAGATAATGTACAGTAAGTGCAACACTGGCTGCTGTTGGAGCACACATGTGTTATACAAGGCTCAAAGACACAATTTCATAAAATTACCTGTAGACAGGCCCATAAGTTGGGACCTCCTGCTCCACATGACTGGCAGGTTCCCTGCAAAACAACAGCAACAGGGTGGGTTCCAATCAACAAAGTGCAGCAACAAAATACTGCAGATCTTATTGTACAAGAGCGTTAAGGGGTGTGTGTTAGTTATGGCACAATGATACACACACAGCCAGTGGCTTGCACCAATAAATTCATTTACACCCACCTTGGATTTCTGGAGAAGGTCCTCTTTGGTGACCTCTCCTATTGAGTGCAGGTGAGGACAAACGTCTGGCTCTGCCATTGTACTCGTTGTCTCCACCAGGACGTATCCTAACAGATACGGCAGCATAGGAAAAAAAAAACATATTTCCAAAGAGGTTGTTGCAACTCAGCTAACTGTGAACATAGGCATCACACAAACCCTCCCTCTGACAGCACAAGCATACGCAATGTAAATACATTCAAAAATATGTATACATTCTAAGTTGAAACCTAAACGTATATACAGAGGCTGACAGCTCAGCAAAGTGACAGGCCCCGGTGTTTACTCACGAAAGAGAAAGACCTCCTTTCTCCAGCGATGACAGCTGTTATTAACGCCTCATAATAGCAGAAAAGAAGCAGCTGCCGCTGTCAAGATGGTTATATCTCATCTCCGCACACACCGAAAAGAAATAAATAGCTCGCATTGGAGTGTGCTAGCTAGACGAGGAGCCGATCGAGCGACGCTGTACCCTGGCCCACCATCCTCCAACTGCCCCCCTCCCTCCCTCACCATCCGCAGAGCCGAGGCACCGCACGCATCGCACGGCATGACGCAAGCTGCAGGAGCAAGCGGTCGGGGTAGAGCCTGAACACTTTCAACTCCAAAAAAAATGAATTATTAAAATTATTAGTATTTACAAGACAAGCGAAAGGGGAAAAAAAGAAAACGACATGTAAAAAGATTCATAAAATGTACGTTATTATAGTTCTTCGTAATATATTTACGGAAGTTAGGTGATTTTGTACGTCTCATAAATGGGTCCTGCTTATGCAATGACTGACATACATTAAAGTCCTCCTGACCTGAATAATGATTTTAAAAAAATATCTCCCCCGACCAAGAGACTTTCTGATAACTAAAAGTTAAGTAAAATTAAGCTCTCTCTAATTTGTAAATGAAAACACATTTAAATAAATAAAGCCATTTTTAACACTGAAAAGCTGATTCTGGGTCTGTTTCTCATAAATTCAATTTGCAACTTGCAACCAATCACAAGAGAAGAAACTGACTCCAAATCAGCCCCACTTAAAGCCGCTTCTGCGTACACGTAGTCGCGTTGGAAATCTCGCGGTATTTTACTTACCCACAACCTCCGGTCTTCCTTTCTGCCTGAACCGACATGGTAGGTACATGTTTGGCTCTTCAGCGAGAATACTTAAGTTGCTGTATCTGCTTGCATCCTTGTCTATGTGATTCTTATTTCATTTCAAAATGTTATTTTGAAGTCTTTTAAGCCTTGTTGTTAATACAGTGTGGATATTGTGGGTTTGTATGGTGCAGTTTGTGATTTAAACCGGGTTGAAGTGATAAGTGTAGCCGGTATGAGCAGTGCTGTGTCGGCCAAAGAAACTAATGCTAAACGGGGACGGGGAATTCGGTATTTTCGTTTATTTTAATGCAGGAGTTGTTACTTAAAACCACTAAAAGATCTGATGAACTTATTATCCAAGTCGACTGTCTCCGGTTACGTTAAGCTAATAGCATTGGCTAATGGGGCCTTAGCGTCGACCTAGCAGTTGCTAGCGGTGCATGATGGGCCATAACACGAATGTAATGTAGGATATATTCCTCAACTTTAACATAGTTGAGGAATTCATAAAATTCCTTACATTTAAGCTGGTAATTTTAGTTTCCCATGAATCATTTGATAAATGTATTTAACTGCAGTGATGTCCTTTGGCAATGTGGTTAGCTCCTTACCCCTAAATGGATTTGAGCGTTGAGCCAATTTAATCCATTTTTTAAAAATTGCTTATGAAACCCGTAGTGTTCAAAATATAACTGAACATTACGTGTTATAGTTCTCTGAAGCAGCAGATTTAAACTCTTGTGTTGGGAAGGCTTTTCCTAGTCCAACACACTCTAATCCACAAGTGTAGACTCTGCAGTCAGGCTCTATGTCTACTGTCTAGTTGACAGTCTAATTTATTTCAGATGTGCTGAATCAAATTTGCACACCTGAGGCTTCTTTTCTTGTAATTCATGAAACTTCTAAACTTGATACTTCAGATTTATCACCAACATGTCTTTCTTTTTTCCCATCTTGCCAGCCTAAGGGAAAGAAGGCTAAGGGGAAGAAGGTGGCGCCTGCCCCTTCTGTGGCCAAAAAACATGAGCCCAAGAAAGTAGTCAACCCTCTCTTTGAAAAGAGGCCAAAGAACTTTGGCATCGGTGAGTATTCAGCTTCTTTGTAATTGTTTTTTTTTTTCATTGGTGCTAATAGATACACTTATGGTGCAGATGATGTAAAAGAATATTTGCTATCTTAACATCCATGATGACAATCTCCCACCAAGATCGCTGATGCACGCTTGATGTCGATGACGACGACGAAGATGATGCGCTGAACTGTTGGAAGTAAAACTTTTTGTTTGCTTGTCCACAGGCCAGGATATTCAGCCAAAGCGTGACCTGACACGCTTTGTGAAATGGCCTCGTTACGTTCGCCTGCAGAGGCAACGCTCCATTCTGTACAAGCGGCTGAAGGTTCCCCCTGCAATCAACCAGTTCACCCAGGCTCTGGACCGCCAGACGGGTAAGATTAAAAACGTTTGGATTTGTACTTGGTCTAAACTTGGAATTCAAAGAAACCATACTGTAGAGATGCATTGTTGAGTTGTTTGTGCCCGTTTTTCTTTTAGGTTTGACCTAACTCATTCTTTTTTTTTTATCAGGGTCAAAATATCACATTTTTAAAATATTCCCTTTTATGAATCTAACAATTTGTTTTCCATCTTTGTGTGCTTTTTTTCTGAAAGTGCTGCACATGCATGTTTTCAGACAAAAATAATAGTGGATGTCTATACCCCTCATTTTATGTATAACTGGTCAATTGATGCATCTCTGCTGTTTGCTTATAATTCTTTACTGTTCCTTTACAAATGATGTGAAATCTTTGCTATCTGACTGTGATGACATTTCCACCAAGATCACTGATGCATTCAGCTGAAACTCTTTCTAATTTGTGGTGTTTATGCCTTATATTTTTTAACTGAATGTATTGTTCCCTGCTCCAGCCACCCAGCTGTTTAAGCTGGCCCACAAGTACAGACCAGAGACCAAGCAGGAGAAGAAGAAGAGGCTGTTGGCCCGTGCTGAGCAGAAGGCAGCCGGGAAGGGAGACACCCCCACCAAGAGGCCTCCTGTTCTCCGTGCAGGTGAGGCGTACAAGAGTTGTTTAAAAAGAGGCATTTATACTCTATAAAATAATGCTAAATGTTAAACTTGACAATGAGATTGTCATTTGAAAATATTGGGCATTTCACAATATTCAGCTTTATCCTAACTTGGCCATGATGCTGTGATGACTTGAATTTCTTCACCTGAAATCAATCTTGATGCTTTTTGAGCTTTTTAACCCTGAGCATTGGCCACAGAATATTTTTTCCGTTTTGTTTGCTGGCATGTCAGAAGTTAACCTCCTTTTCCATTTTCTCTCCAGGTGTGAATACCGTTACCTCTCTGGTGGAGAACAAGAAGGCTCAGCTGGTCGTCATTGCTCATGATGTGGATCCAATTGAGGTAAGACGTCGAGAAAATTTAGTTAAACAATGAAGGTGATCACTGGCAATGATGTTTGAATTTCTTCACCTGAATCCTCTATGTGGATCAAATCATACGAGCTTTTTAACCCTGAGCAGTGACCGTTTAAAGAGTTGTTCTCCTCCCATAAAGGACAAGTTGGTGTTGATTAAACACCAACTTGTACTGTGTGGATTTTTAACAGATTATATTTGTCCTGGTTTTCCAGCTTGTGGTCTTTCTTCCTGCTCTCTGCCGCAAGATGGGTGTCCCATACTGTATTGTGAAGGGCAAGGCCAGACTGGGAAGACTGGTGCACAGGAAAACGTGTACCTCATTTGCATTCACACAGGTTAACCCGTAAGTGTCAGCAGCTCAAATTGTTTTACCCATTTACATTCTAGATAAATGACTCTTAAGTGTATTTTGTACCACCATGATTAACAAGGTTGTATGTACCACTGTAGCAGCTGTGGTGCTGCATGGTTTTTGCTTTTAAAATGTCAGTGTTGAGTCATGCTCCCATCTTTCTCAGTGAGGATAAAGGTGCCCTGGCTAAGCTTGTGGAAGCCATCAAGACCAACTACAATGACAGATATGAGGAGGTAAGCTGCATCTTCCGCTCTTTATATTAAAAATGTGCGCCTAAGAGAGAATTTATTTCAAATTACTTAAATTGTTTTTACAGATCCGTCGTCACTGGGGAGGTGGTATTCTGGGCCCCAAATCCACAGCACGCTTCACTAAGCTGGAGAAGGCTAAGGCCAAGGAACTGGCAACCAAGCTTGGTTAAAATGTTTGGAATAAAAAATTATGTTCTAATACATGTGACTTTGTGTTTATTTGGTCTGAATGTGGCAGTTTTTCAGTCATTGCTGTTTTAGAATGAAAATACGCACCAAACATCAAGCTTTAACAAAATATTTTCTACATGTTTAAAGAAGTACCTAAAAGATCATGAAAGTTGATTTAATTAGGAATTTTGAAGTAACTTTGCAAATATCAAATGAGCAGTTTGGATCCTAAATGATGCATCTTCTGGTGTAACAAAGCCACTGAAAAGTGATTGAGTTGACTCCATGGAGAGAAAAGTTAATGAATTGTAATTCTTAAAGCAAGTTCCATTTTAAAGTATTTTAATAGAATGTCCTGCAGCTAGAAGCTTTGCAATTACTGGTTTTGTCAGGTTTTTATGGTTTGTGATGTTCAACAGTCCTACATGTTCAGACTTTCAATACCTAAGTATTGATGAGCAATACAGGGGATATTTAAAACTACACTTTTATACCAACCATTTGAATCTCGTAATTACCTTGTACATTTGCTAGATCAAATGTCAACTTTGCAACAATAAATATTCATAAGGTATTCTTTGATACATGGACAACAATGCATTGATGATCAACATCCTCAAGAATTGCTCTCCAAGATCATTTTCAGCAACACATGATTACATTTTAATCTTCTTGATGAACTTTGCATACCACATGTAGGAAGTGGCTGCACACAAACCATACCTGGAAAAGAAAAAGATTTTCAATAAGATATCAAACTAGTTCAAGTTATCATGTCTAAGCGAAGAGGCTCCAACGTACCAAGTTATGATATATTGCATGTGTTCATTTCTCAGTGTGACCCGGGTCTGTCCTCCGACTGGTCCCCCTGGAATAGTGCTTTCTGTCACACAAACCCCTTTGAATTAGTAAGTGTTGCTAATGTGTGAGGGGTTGAACTCTGCTCTCACTAAAGCTTAAGTTCTTACGGAAGTCAGCGTCGATCAAGATGGGAGCAGCCCCAGTGATGCGAGACATGGCCTCCAGGTCTCGGTAATGCCAGCGATTTCTCTCTTCGTCGTTGTTTGGTACAAAAGGTTTGCGTGTTTCTGTCAGCCTGACGACCCCCACCACCTCCATCTCACCCTCCACCTACAGAAAATTAGCAAAATTAAAACTGGGCTGAAGTTTCTGATACAAGGATTTTGTGAATGAAACCTCATCACAAGAAAGAGTTAAGTTGCATAAACCCCGTTGGCCTTTGATTGGTAACCCAAGTTAAAACACTAACCTGCCCCTTCATTCTGGTCTCCGGTCGTATTTTCTGCTTTGGTACGTATCCTCTGTTGACCAGGATTTTGATCCTGCATGAATAGCATTCAACATCAGTTAGATCCTGCGTGATGTAGTTGTACCTTATTAGTTGACTTATCATTTTTACCCAAGGTCAGAGCAATAAAACGGGGTGATGACGTTTGCTCCAATCTCTCCACTGGAGGACAGGCTTCCTGCCTCCCTGGCCTCTTTCTCTGGGTCGACAGGCGAGCGGGGCATGATGTACAGCTCCTGAGAGTGATCATAGTGCCCGCGAACTTTCACCCTTCTGTACTCCAGCTTGTTCACTTCAAGAGGACTAAGATTCAGAGATTGAAATGACAATACCTTCACAACAATGAATACAATTCATGCAGAAGAGTACTTTTGTTGACATCCCAAAGATGAAGGTTACTTTACCCTCAGTTTGGTAAAAAAGAAGTTGTGTTTTGGCATGATGGTAATTTTTTTTTTTTTTTTGGGTGCATATTGGTGCTTTTATTTTTTTTTTCATAAAACTCAGGTTTGAGCAAAAGCATAAAAAAATCAAGTGTTTCTTCAGTTCAGTCCTTTGTGTTTGCAAAGAAAGTGAGTTCAGTTACTAACTCAGGAGGAAGAGGAATAGGCTCCGCTGTGGTGAGGCGTCTCAGTTCATCGATTAATCCCATCTTCCACTGACGCCTTTTCACCTTTCGAAAAAGAAAACAATCCGAGTCAACACAAATTACACCTTAATTTCACTAACAAAGAAAAGCAAAGCAATACGTCCTTAATTTAGGATCAAGTTGTACCTGCCATGTTCCCAGGCCAAAGGTGGTCGCAGGGATGAGCAGCAGCAACCACTTCAGGATGGCGTCCTCGCTTTTCTCTGCATCGGCTGCGGTAGAGCTGCACTTTCGACCAAAGATGACAAACCTGCCTAGGCATTTACAGCAACAAAGACACTTTTCCATTAAACTGAACTGCTTAAACAGGACTGATACAAAACCAGATGTATAACAAGCAGAAGAAATTGATGAGAATTAAATCTGTAGTTTGATAAATACAGATAAACAGCTGTTTGAAGACGTTTGAATAAATAGGACTATGCAATAATTTAAATTAATAAACAGGCAAATTAAAAGTTAAAGTAAATATTTGATTAAATACTATGAATAAACACATGCATAACATCATTAAGAGTCGCTCAGTTTTCACTACATGTTGTGCGAGTTCACCAATAAACGAGTAGACTAGAGACAGTTAACTAAAGGTAATTTTATTTATATAGCACATTTTCAGCAACAAGGCAATAAATACAAAGTGCTTTACGGGAATGAAAAAGAAATGCAAACAAAATAACAAACCAAAGGAAAGAGCAAAAGAAAAAAAACAGCTAATAACGTTGATCCAAAGTGTACAAACTAGATAGTCCTATTCAGGATTGGTAGATAAGTATAAGTAAGTATCCTCTGGTCTAATTTCTTTTCTAGTTTGGAAGAATTGGAGTCTAAAAAGTAGTTTTTACTGTATTTTTTCTGGATCCCAAATTCTAATCCCTGTTCTGGGTTGCCAGATAAGTGTAAGTAGGTATTCTCTGGACTTTCAAAGTGTGCTCTAAATTTATAAAAGTACTCCACAGTTTCTAAATAACAATAAAAACTAAGTGTTTATGATCTGGTCGAATTAAAACCCACCATCTGCGGGTCTGAAGCGTGCTGGAAGGAGGAAAGTCCTCCTGATGTTGGCGACAGGAGTCTGCAAGGACGCAAAACACCGGACTGAGCCCACTTTTCTACAGGTAAAAGCATGATATTTACACTTTCACTGAAGCATAAAGTCATAAATATGAAGCAGAAACCTACCTGCTTCCTCAATGTCGGGAGAAGCCTGGCGGAAAAAGCCAGCAGGGATTTCAGAGAAGCCATATTGGGTCAAAACATTGACGAAAACAAGTGTTTTTACAGCACGAGAACGGAGCTACATAACTGACTCGTCCCTTCCTGTTCAGGACACGTAGGGGGAGGACTTCTGGTGTTACTCCTTCCGGGTTCAACGTCACTTCGTCCCGTTTGTTTTTCAATCCACGTGTGTAAAGAAATGTGCTGATATTTTTTTAATCCAGACATTTATTTCTGACTCGGTGCGGAACCTCGGTTTACGTGAAGACATGAACCTCGCCGCGAAGGACTCTTACATTCAGAAACTTGCAAGTAAAGTCATTTCTCAGAGAGAGGAGCCAAGGAACAGGGCGTTTGGTAATACAGACATATAAACTTATTCAGACTTTAATGTATATACAGACATTTTAAAATGCCACTGTCTATTGATATGACTTGTGTATAATTGCCTCAAAAAGCTCGTTTAGAACGAAACGTGCCATTAATTTTGGGTGCATTACTATGGTATGCCACACGTGGCGCTGTGTAGACGTTATTTAGCTCTATGAAACAAATTTTAAAATACCAAGATTATATGCCTTAATTTGGTATTCATTTATCTGCATTAAACAGTTAAAACACACTTTAATGATTGATTATTCAAATTTTTTCCAATTACTTTAAGCTTATTTGGCCACATTGTGGTCGGCCTGTGACTTATAATCAGCCAAAAGAAACTGCTTTGCGTTTTGGAAGTTTTTCGGCGTAAACATGAAATGTTTTGAATTCCAGTTAAAGTAGGACATCATCATAATTTTTTTTGTTTATCTCTGTTTAGTTTTTTTCAAGGGTAAAAGCGACACCGATCCTCTAAGCAAGAAGAAAAAGAAACTAAAGAAGAAGAATGTGAAAGAGAACAGCACTGATAAGTCTCCCAAACCCCAACAGAAGCGGAGTCCTTCTCCAGCAGCTCCAAAAAGCATTGGGAAGCCAAAGTCAACTACTGGAAGTTTGAACGGAAGCACGTTGCACACACCTAAAGGTGCGGGGACAGAAGGTCTAATGAGAGATTCAATAACAATTTCAACAATGTCCTCACTTGATCTTCTTTTGTTGTGCAGACGCAAGCTTCTCCACTGTGGATGCATTGCGCAAAAGACTCCATGAGAAGATTGAGGAGTCCAGAGGGCAGGTAAGCAGTCCTGAATGGAGTCTCCAGTCTAAGCCAAGCAGTGTAGTAGTTAATTAGAAGTTTGTTCACATGCAAAGTAAAGCACTCAGATTAATATTAGATTACATAATCAGAAACTTTTATATGCTTCTTTTTTCTGGTTAAAAATATGTACAAAAGCATTTCCTTCTTTATTTTCCTTGTTGTTGGAGTAATAACAGGCCTGTACCTTTAAACAGGGAGCGCCGCAGGATGCATTATCAGAAGCCGTCAAGGCAAAGCGCGCAAAGCGAAAGATGGAACGGGAGCGCAAGAAGAGGAAAAGGAAAGAGTTTCTGATGAAGAAACTTGCAGAACAAAGCGGCCAGGAACAGCCTGCGGAGATAAAAGAAGAACCGATCGCTCCAATCGCTCCTGCCGCGGAAAAAAGGGTTACCTCGGCTGTTGTCTTTAACAAAGTAGAGACGGTGGAGAAGGGCTATGAAACCAAAATTCAGGCAAAAATGAATAAAAAAAAGGGCGAAAAAGGTAAAATAACGCCACTGACCGGGAAGAACTACAAGCAGCTTCTGAGCCGAGTGGAGGCTCGCAAGGAGAAGCTGGAGCGGCTGAGAGAGAAGGACGAGACGAAGGCTTCTGAGTTGGAAAACAAGATCAAATGGACCAACTTGCTCTACAAAGCCGAGGGCATCAAGATCAAGGACGACGAAGACCAACTGCGCGCCTCTTTGAAGAGGAAGGAGAAGAGGCGCGAGCAGAGGAAGAAGAAGTGGAATAATCGAAGCGAGAATGTGATTGAGAAGATGCAGCAAAGACAGGACAAGAGGAGGAAGAACATCCAGAAACAAAAGCAGGTTAAAATGGAGAAGAAGAAGAACAGAGCGAGGAAGAAGGGCAGAGTGCTGCCCGAGGACCTGAAGAAAGCAGCAGTTTAGAGGAAGAGAAGTTCATGTTCTCTTCATACACTGCAATGAAAATGAGTGAAATCTTGCAGTGAAATGTTTATTTTTACAAAAGTAAAGGAGTTATTGTCGAGATAAAGCCTCTTTGTTTTGTCATACTATATATACATATGTGCATAATATTTCACAGCATTTCACATTTACCTAAAGGTTTTTGTTCTTGGGTTTCAAAAATGTTCAAAACTTAAATCGTAAAGTTGCTTTGTACATAGTTGGCGCTCGATAGACTTCTTTTCTAAACCGTTTCATTGTTGGTGATAAATATTAAGTTTCCCCTTGAACCAAATGTGCACAAGTGAATCTCAAAAGTGTAAACGTCCCTGTTAAAAAAGTGAGACTTTGACCAATTATTTTCAAAATGACCACAAGTCAATAACTTGATGTGGCATTTATTTAAGTTGTCTCAATTGTTTTTTTGTTTTTGCTTTGTCAGTCTGCTGTAGAATGATTAAATGTAAACTTTGTGTTTTAGACTATGAAATAATACATTCAGAACTCTGGAAATTTAAGTCTTGAAAAGTCTAGATTTTTATGTGGTAAGATGTATAGGAGAGAGAGACATTAGGGGTAGGTTGTCATCAAATCTCATTTTGACAGGTGCCACGCCCCTTTGACCTCTATTTAACCCCCCCCCCCCCCCTCCTCCTCCTCCTCCCCCTCCCCCTTCTCCTCCTCCTATTGATTTTTTTCTTTTTAAAGAGTAATACCAATACAACAACAGTTATTTAATCAAGAAAAATGTATATAATTATATACTATGCCTACTGAAGTTTTAAATAGATTTGGAATGGAGATGTTACTTCTGATTCTGTGCCTGTGTTCAGCCTGGCCTACGACTGGGGTCTGAGCTGGGGGGGCTTGATCAAATATAGGTACGGCCTGTGAAATCCCTTCGGGGGGTCGTTCTCAGTAGATCTCACTGACATATGGTCTGTGTGTTAGGTTTTTCTGTTTTCTCTCTGCTGAATTCAGAAAATGCTGTATATCTGACTATCTTTTTAAGAGTAATACAGCACCCAACAACAGTTATTTAACCAAGTAAAATGTATTTAACCAAGTAAAAATGTATATAATTATGTAGTAAAGCCTAGTGAAGTTGAAATAGATGCCGGAGATGTTGCTTCTGATTCTGTGTCTGTGTTCAGCCAGGCCTACAACTGGAGGTCTGAGCTGCGACACGCAGGGCCTGCGAGAGAAGGAATGTAGTAGCTGCATACTTTGCAAACTTTGCAGGATGCAGACAGAATGATAAATTAGCCACCTCGGGGGGAATTCAGAGCAAGACCCTCATGAACCCTGCTGGTTCATGAGGGCAGACCAGAGCCACATCTGTTTTTTTTTTTTTTTCTCAGTTTATCGCTCTTTGTCTAAAGAGTAATTACCTTCAGTTATCTGTGAGCGACACACGCTTTAAACACATTTGAAACTCATAGATTTTTCTGTAACACTCACTAGTGTGATACATTTCAGTAAATGTTTCTCATTTGTACATGTACTTCTTAAGAATATGTGACTGTTTGTAAGCAGGCCAACGGGAGGTTATTCAAATTAGACTTTTAACTTTCCTTGGTTAAAGAATTTGTCCAGAATTTTCCAAAATTTATCCTCGCATCATTGTAAATGCTACTTTCGTTCAATTTTTTTTCCAGCTGCTGAATCAACACTGATCTTCCCAGAGCTTCATGCTTTCTCCAAAATAGTAAACGCCGGTATAAACACATTTGAAACTCATACATTTTTCTCTGTAACACTCGCTAGTGTGAAACATGTCAGTAAAAGTTTCTCATTTGTAAATTTATTTCTTAAGAATATGTGACACTTATTAAACAGACCTTACTGAGACTACTCATATTTAAGTTTTAGCTTTCCCTAGAGTTGAAAGTTTTTTTTTCTCTCTTTCTTTCTTTATTTTTTTAACACTGCACAACTACGCTCCGACATGGTAAATTATTTTGTTACCTTTATCATTATCCACTACTTTTGTCTCTAACTTATATGCTGTATGTTTCTCGGCCCAAATGATGCTTTTTTCCTCCATCCATCATTTTACACACTTGAGTGTGTTCAGTAACAAAATGTAGTTGTTGAATTTTCCATTACTGAAGCTTATAAATGATCAATGTAAACTTTCAGTCTGTATTCAGATAGTGAATACAATTCATATTATTTAGATTGGATGTTTTAATGCATGCACTTGGATTTCTATCGATTTATTGAATAATAGTCTGCGTAAATATTTATCAAACTGAATGGCCATTCAGGTTTCATATAATTGTTTTAGTTTGGTTTTTGTTGCACAACTTCAAATATATGCTGGCTATCAACCAACCATTCAATCAGTGATTTTTTTCTTTTTTTTAAAATAACCCCTCTCACATCTTCTGACAACTAGCCCCAAGTTATAATAACATTAACTAAGTTTTGCTAATGGTGCACTTTACCTAAAAACAAATATTAAAAAAATAAAACATACTCACTACACAGCCCCTTCTCCCAGAGCTGGTCACAACATGGTGATTGTTTTTTTTTTACCGTTAAAATTATCTACAGCTTTTGTTCCTTGCTTCTCATGATGCTATCTGTTCACTAATGTTCACCTCTTGTAAATGATAAGCTTATTAACGGACAATATGAACCATCAGCATGCGTTAAAGAAGATCATATCAGTCAGATGAAGTAAAAATATCATGATACTCAAAGCAATCAAAAATATATTGATCTGAAAGGTAATTTCTCCTTTTCAGGGAGCTTAGACTGAATGAAAGGAATTATTGAAATATACGACAAAATATTTAATTTGCAGAATTCCGATAATAGAACTTCAACTATGAATTGAAAGATTACATTGTATTTATTAACTGAAGATCACTTAATAAATCAACTGTTAATTAGTCATCATACTATGTAAATGACTAACAAAATTTGAACAAACAAGAAACTTGACTACCTCAAGGGATTTCTCACATTGGAGAATCAACTGTCTGATTTTCTTTAGCCCATTAAATTTAACCTTACCAAAGCTCTGCAGTAAAGCAAACGGGTACTTAGTTTGAAGCCTGAATCAGATGCCTTCAGCTTATGCTGAACCTGGACTTTGGCCGCTCTCAGTGTAAAATAAAACATCAGACTTTGAAAAAAAAAAAAAAAGGTCCAAGTGAACATCACTTAATTATCATCAACTAGTTGTTTATACTCATCTTAAACCATTGGCAGGAATCTTTGGATAAAAACACACAAACAATAAAAAATAAAGCTTTATCAGTTAATCTATTTAAATTGAGTCACTAAAAAAAAAAAAAATAAAAAAGTGAACTATGTGAAAGTAGTGAGGATTTTGTGTGCTAAATGTTTAACGTTTTAACATGCCCAGCAGACACCACACCATTTCTGCTCAAGCAAACCACAAGGTTTTGAACAGGACAACTATGTCAAAAAAAAATACAAAATGAGACCGTGTATCTTTATTGTATGTAGCAAATATATTGCTGCTGGTGCTGCTGCTGCTGTAGGTAAAAATAAAGAAGTTTTGCAGAGAATAATATTCTGGATGAGTTTAAGAATATTCTTTGCCAAAATTACACAGTGTAACTACACTTGTATTTTATATGTTGCAGTAATTGAATCTTTTGAGGCAAGATCATATCAGTCAGATGAAGTAAATATCATGATACTCAAAGCAATCAAAAATATATTGATCTGAAAGGTAATTTCTCCTTTTCAGGGAGCTTAGACTGAATGAAAGGAATTATTGAAATATACGACAAATATTTAATTTGCAGAATTCAGATAATAGAACTTCAACTATGAATTGAAAGATTACATTGTATTTATTAACTGAAGATCACTTAATAAATTTTGGTAATTTTTGCATAAATTTAAGTAAATCCAACCTATTTTCCTGCTCTACATACTTAGCTAGCAATTCGCCAGTTAGCTTCCCAGTCTGAATTTCTGTGCAATGTCTTTATTCAGTGAACTCTTCTATCCTGTACTCCAATTCTATTCCTGAACTCCGATATTCTACATCCATTTTGTGAATGTTTTGCTTGCTTGTTGATCTTCAGCATGCTCTGAAGGCAGTATCTGGTTTCTCTTACTTTAAACCGTCCAACTTGCACCTGATTGGCACCTTAGCCTTTTGATTCCCTGTTTGATTCAATCTGTTGCTCTCTGCCTGGTGGTTGTTTCAGGAGATGAGGAAACATGGTGACTGAGGTTTACAGCCAACTAGCCAGATTATGCAGCTTTTTTTTAGTAGATAGCGGTCCTAAAACTACATACCTTTAAAATATGAACAAATATGTTCAATTCCTTAATTATTTGATTCATGGGTGATACAAGTTTGGTCATTTGGAATGCAACTCAAGGACTGTGGTTTCTTAATGTAAGTATTTCTGCTAAAATCTATGAGTTTCAAATGTGTTTAAAGCGTGTGTCGCTCACAGATAACTGAAGGTAATTACTCTTTAGACAAAGAGCGATAAACTGAGAAAAAAAACAAAAAACAGATGTGGCTCTGGTCTGCCCTCATGAACCAGCAGGGTTCATGAGGGTCTTGCTCTGAATTCCCCCCGAGGTGGCTAATTTATCATTCTGTCTGCATCCTGCAAAGTTTGCAAAGTATGCAGCTACTACATTCCTTCTCTCGCAGGCCCTGCGTGTCGCAGCTCAGACCTCCAGTTGTAGGCCTGGCTGAACACAGACACAGAATCAGAAGCAACATCTCCGGCATCTATTTCAACTTCACTAGGCTTTACTACATAATTATATACATTTTTACTTGGTTAAATACATTTTACTTGGTTAAATAACTGTTGTTGATTTCTCCCCATAGCCAGCTGTCAGTGGCTATGGGGAGATGCTACACCATCTCATCTCCGTTGTGTTGGTGTAGGTAAAAAAAAGTCTTACTTTCTGGGAGCTACTGCTGAACTTCTGGAGATTATTGTGCAAAGAAGGATCCTTCATAAAATAAAATAAAAAGACAATCTTGAGCATCTAATTTATGAGACCGCAACAAAGTTTTCAGTTGAAGACTTTAGATCTTTATTTTAAAAAATGAGTTATAAATGCACTTAATTTTCCTTGGGATCATTCAAATATGCTTTGAATCTGAATATTCTGACATTTTGGGGTCCGTGTCTGAACTCGAGTCCAGCTCAGCGCCAGTTCAGCTGGAACCTGGCTGCGCGCGCCTCTCGGTGGGCGGTGCCAATGTTTGTCTCCGCCCACAAAGGAAGCAAAAACAAGAAGGTCGAGGCGAAGTTGCTGATGCAGCTGCCCTCCTGTCTGCCCCGGAGCGTCTGAGAAAGTTTGAAGCTTCGGTCCAGCGTCAGCTTCATGTCTGGAATAATGTGCAGCCGTCCATGGGGATAATCAGGATTCTGGCTCCTTATTTGACTTTAATTCGTCCTAATTTAGTTCAGAATCATAAGGTCAGCATTTCTTTTCTTGTCAGAGTTAGCAGTTGCGATATGTTTATGCGTATTTCTATGTGGAGGATTTTTTTTAAAAAAAAAATGCATTTATTTCAGCTGATCATGGCCAGACGACTTTATGCGAGCAGAACAATCGGTGTGGATAAAAACGTTTGGTGAGTAATTATGAGCGCAGTCATAATTGATATCAAACTGCTGCATGCATGAAAGAAGAACAGCAAAGATATTCAAAGAACACAAATTTATGATCCCGTTTTGCCTGATCACGTCAACAGTGTAACTCATAATAAATCACCTTGCATCTCTCAGTGCAGCTCTAATTTATTCACTCCACAGTGAAATTATACCTTACTATGTAAAATACAAAGGATCTGGGCAAACAGGTGTTCATGGGCTCCTGTTTGCAAGAACCGTTCAAATAATAATACACTTCAGAACAATGTTAGATTTCAGAAACTTTTTGATTGGCTGAGCAGAAGGCGGAACACTGAAAAGGTCAAAGTCCAGTTAATGTACAACCTCGAAGATGATCATTAGAAAAATCTTCACCTTATATAAATGTCAGGGCAGCAGCTGCAGCAGAAAGAAACATGTTCCTCCTGTAACTCTGATCTCAGATTGTTTTTAAAAGCAAACCTTGATTGGATTTGGGGCATCAGTGCTTAGTGTTGACTAATGGTAAACATACAGTCATTCTTGGACAATTACTTGTTATTTTGCCTCTTTGTTTTCATCCTTTTTTTAAAAAATGCATTTATTTATAATTTCTCAGACTTAAACAACCAAGACAGACAACACACATGACTGATGTGGCTGTAATTAATGAACATATCTTCTACATATTACGCTGTAAAACGTCACGATCTGTAAAAAAAGGAAAAAAAAGAGCACTGGTGTTTTGCATCAACAGGGTTGAATTCACACAGCTGGCTGCAGATTACAAAACTGTGAACCTCGGACAGGGATTTCCCGACTTCTCCCCTCCGCAGTTTGTCCAGGATGCGTTCTGTAAGGCTGTGAGCGGAGGACCCCAGATGCACCAGTATACCAGAGCTTTTGTAAGTAGAAATGTCAGCTTCGGTCGCTTATAACTTGGAATTTGTGTGGAAATTGTCAGCTGCCAGTCACACGTCAAAAGGGGAAGGGACTTTCATTTGTTTCACTTTCCGTCAAACAGGGCCATCCTCGTCTGGTGAAGAGTCTCGCTAAATTCTTCAGCCGGATCGTTGGGCATGAGATCGACCCCTTCGAAGACGTCTTGGTCACAGTCGGAGCTTATCAGGCTCTTTTCTGTGCATTTCAGGCTCTGATTGATGATGGAGATGAAGTATGCCCCTTTTAATGACTTTTACATTTTCTGCATGTTTGAATGATTCAATAGTTAAATTACTCTCAGGTTTATTATGCACAACACCCTGAAAATATATGTATATCTCGAACTAAACTTTGTTGTCCCTCAAATGAAATGCTGCCTTGAGGAAACTAAAACTGCATCCTCAATACACAATTGTTTTAAACTGTTGTGTGTGTGTGTGTGTGAGGGGGGCGGGGGCTGAGCTTTTCAGCTGATTGTGAGTTTTTCTTTTCAGAGTAATGCTTTTGTTCAGTAAGATCACATAAAGGTTGTCTTGTGACAGCCCTGAACATACAACCACAAGATTAAAGCAAGATTAAAGATTAAAGCATGTCAATGTGTCAAAACGGTCTAGTCAAAGTCCACACATAAATCTGATGAATCTTTGGGAAGACCTGAAAATGAATGTTCACAAATACTCCTCATCCAATCTAACTAAGCCAAAGCTCAAAGTGTGGCTTGTGCAGATTATGAGCAAAGTATTGAGTAGGAAGAACTGATCAATCAGATTTTTAGCTGTCAGATTTTATCTACTTATGCTCTGTGTTGTCAATAAATATCTGCAGAAACATTTTTGCTATGAACCACAACTGATGGGATTTTCTCCCTCAGGTGATAATTGTGGAGCCGTTCTTCGATTGCTACCAGCCGATGGTTCTGATGGCGGGAGGGACCGCGGTGTATGTTCCTCTGAGACCGGTAAACGGTTAAATCTGAAGGATCTGATGTCTCTGAGCTCGTGTTTGACATGTGAGAGACATTTTGTTTTTTGTCGCTAACCGCAGAAGGGGGGCGGCACCGTCCTGTCAAGTGGAGACTGGGTTCTGTCTGCTGAGGAGCTCGCCAGCAAAATCACTCCCCGCACCAAAGCCATCGTCATCAACACTCCCAACAACCCTTTAGGCAAGGTGGGATTTATGACGCCCACTCTGCTTCCCAACCCGAGCTCTTCGCAAACATCCTTTTCAAAACGAAGGTGGAAAAAATAAACATAATGGGTGAGTTCTGGGTTCACAGGTGTACAAGGTTGAGGAACTCCAGATGATTGCCGACTTGTGCGTCAAACACAATCTGCTGTGCTTCAGCGACGAGGTGTACGAGTGGCTCACTTACGACGGGGCCAAACACGTAAAGATAGGTGAGACACGAGCACGGCTTCGACGCGACCTCGTCAAACACGCATTCATCAGCTGTGTTTCTGACAGCCAGCCTTCCTGGGATGTGGGAACGAACCATAACAGTGGGCAGTGCTGGGAAAACCTTTAGTGCGACTGGCTGGAAGGTAATACACAGGCTGTTATCATTTAGTGCTCATACGGCGTTTCTGCTGTTTATTGTTCTGTAATTAATACTACCTCTGGTTTTAGGTTGGCTGGGCTATAAGTTCAGGAAAACTTATCAAACACATGAAAATCATCCATCAGAACTCGGTGTATCACTGCGCAACAGCAGCTCAGGTAACTCCATGGACAAACCTTGATCCATATGATGACATACAGCAGCTTACTTCTTTCTTAAAAGCAATAATGTTGAGTTTTAGTAATTGAGGCCCGGGGCCCCGCATGTTTTTAGGGCCACCCCTGAAAGTCCCTTTAAAAAAAAAAGTTTTTAACACAATTTTTCTAGCATCATTTGCATCTCTCGTGTTTTTCTAAGTTCTCGACTCATCCTGTTGTCACCCAGGAAGCCGTATCCCACGGATTCGACCGCGAGTACGAGCTGTTCGGGTCTCCAGAGAGCTACTTCCAGCAGCTGCCTGCCATGCTGCACCAAAAGAGGCAGAAGCTGGCCTCTTGTCTGCGTAGTGTGGGCCTACAGCCAGTCATGCCAGAGGGAGGATACTTCATGATCACAGACATCTCTTCTGTCCGTGAGTCACGAGCAAACATCCAAGCTGGACGCTTTGCATCCGGCGGGCCTTTATTTGGGCTTCCTAATGAATGTTTACCCGAGTCTTTTCTTCCCTTTGAACAGAAGTGGATCTAAACGATGAGAGCACCAAGAACGAAAGCTACGATTTTAGATTTGTCAAATGGTTGATTAAGGAAAAGGTAAAGTCTAGTAGATATTATTTAAAAGATGCATGTTTGTTTGTTTTTTTTTTTTTTTTCTAATTTTTTAGTACCTATGTTTTCATTTCTTTTTCATCAAGGGCTTAGCGACAATCCCAGTCTCTGCTTTCTTCAGTCCGGAACACAGCAAAGAGTTTGACAAATACATCCGCTTCTGTTTCGTTAAGGTAAGTGCAGCCACTTTGATCAAAACTGATGCTCTTTTTCACTTGTCAGTCCTCTCAATCGGAAACATTTTGGTTGTGTTGTTGTTTGTGTTTTCTTTAAACAGGAAGACTCCACACTGGAAGCAGCGGAAGAGATCTTAAGAAAGTGGAGTCAAAAAGAATAAAATGTACCGTCCATCATGCATATTTTCTAGAGCAACCCACTGAGCCTCCACAGGAAAACTGTTCAAAAATTGTGTTTATGTTTGTGTTTGTCCACTCGTCTATAAAATAAACGAGTTTAATAATTATGCATTCAGTAAACAGTTGTTCTGTGTTCACATTATGCTTTTTCATGTTTTTGACAGTTACTTGTGTGGAGATTCTAGTTATTTTTGTCGCTGATCTTTTTGCATTTTTTTTTTGAGAGGATATTGAATGTTAGTTTTCAGATTGTTGCATATTGGCACAATCTGTAACAATTCATTGTATGAATGCATATTCTCTTTAGTATTCTTAGTTTTTGAAAATTTATTAACTACACAAATACCTTTTTCCAATTATGTTCTATAATAATAATTATTCCCCTTAAAGATGTTAAAAGCACCGTAATGTGTGTATGACTCTGTGTCTTTATCTGATTTATCGTTGTACACACTGCTGCTCGCGAAGCGAACCATAAACATGTCAGTCTGACTAAACTGGTCAACCAATCGCAATAGAAAAAAAGTCAATTTGCTAATAAACGTAATTTTCTTTAATCGGCTGAGGTTAAACTGAATTGATTCGAGATTATAGAATTTAATTCTTGAATAGTAGTCACCACTCCACACCAGTCGTTTGCCTACCACCAAAACACGTCGAAGAAGAACTGATTGCGGAAATCAACCCGGAAGTAAATAAACCAACGTGTCGGTGTAGAAAAATGTCGACCAATAGTGCAGAGAAAAGACCTGAACCTGCGTCCTCTCAGGTACTGATATAATGAACACGTTCGTGTGAGTCATTGATATTGCCAGCCGTTTTAATGTATTATAATGTATGCCTCACTTATTTCAGTTCGGGGACCAGATTCCCTGGAAGAAAAGGAAAGCAGAACGTGAGTAGAAGCTAACTGTGCTAACACTGAGCTGCATGCTCCCCAGGTTTCACCAGTGGGTTATGCTAAAACATTAGTTTAGCATAACCTGGAATACTCTAGGTGCGGTAATACGCAGAGCTCTCCTTTTATTATACAAGACTTAAGATGCTCAAGTGACGTGAAGCAGCACCATCAAGCGCCACAAGTTTGAACTCATGTCAGTCAAGTGAAATAGATAACAGTGTAACCTTTTTAATTATTATGGCTTTTCGTCATTACTCTGCGTTGTGTGAATATGGACCAGGAGACAGGATGATACAAGATGAAGTGTATCTGGATGAAACAGGATATAAAATAATCAGGGACCAGGTTCATCACCGGCAGTACAGCACCTTACGAGGAATAGTATTTTATGTTAGCAACAAACTAACAGAACATTCCACAGGACCGTTACAATGTTCCCAGTGAACCTACCTCGCGCCCATCTCTCATGAACTGGCAACGAGATATCTATGTTCACTATAGTTAACGTTGCCAACCACCAGGAGGGGGTGCTGTTTCACCCATTACATCTGAACCCAAACTTGGAAGTAAAGACAAGTGGAATTCTGTACAATATTTTAACTGTTACAACAGCAGATTATGAGTTCATAGCTATCTGAGGCAATTCATATCTAAATAACAGGATCCATTCCATACATAGATGGGTAAGACGATATGTAAAGTGCATAATGTTAAACTTATTTTGTAGCTTAGCATTTGTTTGATGGGTGTTTATAGTGATAGTTTGATATTAGAAAATATATGGTAATCAGATTAGGGAGCTGTCAGATTTATTAGATCATTTCCATGTGTATGTTAGTCTACCATTTGGCCTCGTGTAGCTTCCAGGTGAGGTTGTTTGCTCTTGAGGAGTGCCACAAGGTGCTGTTGTCCCACCATTCCCTTTTATTCTGTACACCTCAGAATTCTAGTAGAAATCAAAGTGCTGTCTTCTATCTTGTTACAGAGAATAAAACATCTTCTGTCATATGTTGGTGTAGGATCCTCTGAGACAATGACTTAAAGAAGCCCAATTTTGCCACATAAACCTGTCAAAATATATTTCATTGAAATAAATTCTCTTAAAGATGATCTGTGTTCTAACTCTAAGGCACCTGTAAACTGTTTTTTTGTCCCTAACAGTAAAGGAAAAACACAAGCAGTGGAAAAATGCTAAACTCATCAAACGGTTGGAGAAACAGAAACAGCAAGAGACTGCAGAAAGAGCGGAGCAGGAGGAAAGCCAGAGTAAAAAAGGTAATGGTCGTCATTTACTGATTGTCAGCCGTTATCGGCTCGGGTAGCCGTAAACAGACGGGGACGTGTTTTTCAGGTCGAGCTTACACGGTGAGTGTGGCCCTTCCGGGCTCCATCCTGGACAACGCTCAGTCCCCTGAGCTCCGGACGTACCTGGCGGGACAGATCGCCCGAGCCTGCGTAGTGTTCAACGTCGACGAGATCGTCGTGTTCGACGAGCAGGGGGAAGATGTCAAGTAAGTGGTCTGGGAGGAAAAAATGTAGTGTAAATACTATTTACACTATCAGGATGCAAAGTGATGCTGGTTTTGCTCCAGGACTGTCAAAGGAGAATTCAAAGGTGTTGGAAAGAAGGGCCATGCATGTATTCAGCTTGCCAGAATACTTCAGTACATGGAGTGTCCGCAGTAAGTGTGCAAACGGTTAGATCAGTAACTGTTGCGGTTTACTCTTTGATTTGTCACGTGTGACTTCTGTTCTCCACCAGGTATTTGCGCAAGTGGTTCTTCCCAGTGCACAAAGACTTACAATATGCAGGTAATTTTAAAACCATCACCATTTTTAAGTGATTTATTTTGAATTTATCATATGTGAAGGTCTTGTGAGGTGGACAACCCAAACAGCACAATAGCAGACTGTTTGTTACACATATGCTGACTGTTACCAACAATAAAACCTATCAAAATTTCTTCTGGATGTGGATCAACTAAACACAGCGCTCTGATCTAGTTGTTTTTTCAAAGCCTTCAACTTTCTCCTGGTTTAAAAACATGAAGTATTTACATGTTTGAATTCCATACTGTCTGTTTGTGGGGCATTTTAAACTATAAATACAAACATTCAGTGAATTTATTGCAGATATTTATATCAACGGCAGCCTTTATTTAGGATGCCTGTACATTTCTAAGTGGATAGCAAGCCAAAGGACAAATACTTGAATAGGAAGGAGAGATTCATAAGTGAATAGATGAAGAAAAAAAATATGGAAGATGGAGGCAGAGCTACTTGCTAGGATAAACGGATAAATGAAAGGAGACACGTGTCAAGTTAGATGGATTCATAAATGCGCACATGCATGTGTGGTTGTTTATGCTTGTAGAACTACAAGGAATGAAGGTGTAGTTAGATTATCTGTCAGGTTTTTCTGTTTAAACCTCTAAGACTAGTGGCAAAAACAGCATTGGAATCATAGTAAAGGTGCAAAAATAACATTGTTTCAAGTCTGTCCATGTTTCCTCCCACTAGGTTTGCTTAATCCTCTGGACAGCCCTCACCACATGAGGATAGACGAAGAGTCAGCGTACCGGGAAGGAAGAGTCCTCAACAAGCCGCCAAAACAAGGAAAGGGTTCATTGGTGAACTGTGGAATGAGGAAGGTGACTTGGACACAAGTGTTAGTTTGAATTTGGTAACTGAGAGATTAAACAGGCCTGACTGCGTTATCAAATTCCATGTCCAGGACGTGCGGATTGATAAACAACTTCAGCCAGATCTGCGAGTTACAGTGAAACTTACTAAGACACAGAATCAAGGTACGTTTTCCCCGTTGGAGTATGCTGTACTTTATTCATCCATTGCAGTATAACACAAGGAGAACATCAGTTCAGTGTTTGTCCGTGTGTGTTTGCGCAGAAAGCAGACTTTATAAAGGCATCGTCGTGGCGCCTCATGTTCCCAGAACAGAAGGTGGTCTCTACTGGGGGTACTCGGTCCGCCTGGCATCCTGCCTGAGTATGTACCTTTTTACTTTTTTTTTTTTTACCCTGTGACTTAAATTCTGTAAAACGTGTAGAAAAATCTCAGTGTTGACTGTTTTTGCTGATGCAGGTTCAGTTTTCACCGAGAGTCCTTTTAAAGAAGGGTATGACCTGACAGTGGGCACCTCAGAGAGAGGCAGCAGCGTGGACCAAGTCACTCTGTCACCATTCAAGTAGGTTCAAAGCTCATTAAATGGTTAGGTCAGTCGGCCATGTGCTTTAAAATTAGCATGCGTGCATGCAAATTTAGGCGTCAAGCGTCTATAGTATTTAGTGTTAACATGCTGCCAATTATTAACATCCCCCCACCCACTCTGTAGGCACCTTTTGGTGGTTTTTGGAGGTCTTCAGGGTTTGGAAGCCAGCCTGGATGCAGACCAAAACCTGGATGTGACCGACCCCAGCATCTTGTTTGATCTCTACCTTAACACATGTCCAGATCAGGGCAGCAGAACCATCAGAACAGAGGTAAAAATGCGAAAATAGATGGAAAAAGAGAAGCCAACTGCACTGTAAACATAATGATAAAGTTTCGACTTTCGCTCAGAATTGTAATTTAATCTTTCTGTTAACAGGAAGCTATTCTAATCTCCATGGCGGCACTGAGACAGAAGATCACAACTGCTTTTTCAGAAGATTCCAGTAGTTTGTGAAAAATACTGTAAACATATCTGTGTGTACCAAATCCGTGAATTACCTTCTGTAAATAGACATCAACTTAGTTGACCTGTCTGAAGTTTTTTTGTCTTTGTTATGTGGTGGAAACTGAACATGGTTTATGTGTTGTCTGTCTTGACAATGTTTTGATGAACAGTTCTGAAACAAAACATACTGAAGTTTTACATTTTTTGAGGAACAACCCAAAATATATCTGCACCGAGAAAAGATGATCAGTTCTAAATTGAGCTTCAGTGCCTTGCACAAGAATCTCCTTGAATGCATCTCATGTTTCCAGGCTGCAGTTAAACAGTCATTGCACACTCATTCGGAGGTTGTCTGGATGGTAGACATGCATCTTAAAAAGAACATTTGAAGTGAACTGAATACAGTCTGCAGCAAATTCTTCCTTTATTATGGGTATAATCTGTGGTGCGAACATAATTTACAGTAGTATAAAGTGCTGCTCTTTACCAGTCATACAAATTTGAGAGACAAAAAAACATATTTGCCTTCTCTGTACTGAAAGTTGTTAAAAACAATTATTTCTGTGTCTTATATCACATAATTTTAATACTTGGATTTTGATACCAGATAAAAAAAAAAAAATCACTTTTTATAACCAACAAATGACTTTCCGAAAAAAACATGACTGGATTTGAAGAACTAAACTACTCCTAAAAGGCAATCTGGTCAAATGAAATCCTCCAACTAAACCTCCCTTCTAATTTCTTGAACTGAATAAAGCACTGAAATGAACCTTTACATTCTGGTTGCATGCACTTAAAACTTTGGCCAGTTTCAAATGTCAATGGATGCATTAGTTCCCACTTCTGGCAAAAATATGTAACTGAAGTTAGTTGGGCCTGGGTTATTGTAAAACTACAATGCTGTCCAGTTCAACATGCTCCTGCTCTAAACCACAGTGCTTGGGCTGCTGTGTTGTCTCATAAGGCTCCGCTATGATTGGCCTGTCGGCTGAATTGGACATCCGTCTTTGGCAGCTATTTTAGAACATGATCTCTTTACAACAGTTATGAAAACTACTTAAATTATTGTGTGAAAAGCCACAGTAACAGGCTTATTGGTGATTTTTGGATTAAAGGAACTTGCTGATATAATCCTCCAACATGGAAAACATTTAAATACATAAAAATATAGAGATGTGTACAACCTTTTAAATTAGTTATTTTGCACACAAATGCAGTAAGGAAGTTTACACACACATTCATTGGGATGAACACATTATTTTGGGGTTTTAAATGTGGTTACCCTTTTTTTTTTCCAGGGTGGAATATTATTACAACACATAACCTGATTTATTTGATCACAAAAATAAATCTAACTTGTGTTTTCCCAAGAGACAGACTATTAAATATAAATCTTACAAACTATTAAGTAAGTGATCATGATTGGCTGTAAGTTTTAAACATTCAAGCATTGACATGTTTATCATACTGGTAACAATGGCGCAGTCCAATGAGCTCGGTCCAAAACAGAATCGACACCTAGAGAAGCCACATGTTTTCTGGAGAAAGCTTTACAGGCAGATGAGACAAAGAGTCAAGGCGAGGCTTTTAAACTAAACCGCACCAGCTGTCTAGCGTCATGATGTGGGAATGTTGAGCTGCCAACACACAAAGTGGAAGAATCAATTTTCCTGGATTTTACCAGTCAATAAATGCATATCAAAACCTAAACCTACTTGGTAATAGCTAACTTGCTAACATCACTTTCTGGAGGAGTCTTCCCAAAACTGTGACCTCAGTAGAAATGAAAATGTGCAAACTTTATTTAAATCTGTAAATATGATAGGGATGCACCATTTTGGGAAATTGATGATCAGCCGATTTTTACATGTGAAGCTGATCTTAGCCACTGATTTTATCTACCTTGGCAAAGGCGAGTATATAAACTGTTATCTCCTTCTGCTCTACTGTCAGAGGTTTGACTAGCAGACCAGCCCACCAGATCAGATCAGATCTGTATGTCATCTCACTGTTGGCAACTCATTAACTTTCTTGCTACATTTTGGACAAAAAAAAGTTGGTATCGGCCAAAATCGCAATCAGCAGGTCAGGATTTTTAATAGATTGGCGATCAGACAGAAAACTGCAATTGGTGCACAGAGCTGCCTTTTCAAGCAAACTATAGCAGTTTTGCATTAAGAGTGAATATCCAGGAAGCATTATGCTTGGATCTTGTTAACAGTTAACAGAACGTATATAATGACATGGGAGCGTCAAGCAATTATTACAGAGGGTGTAAACATTTGAGCTTGTGTGTATAATTCTGACTCTGTGTGTGTTCCTGCACCCAGATTTGCCAGAAAACTTGGAAGGAGTTTGTTGTGAAATCCTTTCACCCTGAGAAAAAAATCTGCTCCAAATTAAACCTCTAGCTGAGGACATTCATGCCGCTGGTGTGTAAACTTTCTGACCACAATAGACAGTGCTCCAAAAGCCATACAAGTTCAGTACCTGAAATCAGAAATGGAAACTTTTCCACACATCTTCATCATCATCATTAACTGAAGATTTCCCGTATCTTCACCATCTTTGCCGGATAAAAGCATTTGTGACGCCTCGTTTTGAGATCACTGTGAACTTGAATCCGCTGTGCTCGTCTGCTTCTTGGCTGAACAGCTGGTATCTCACCACTTGGGGCTGGTGAACGTGATGTTATACAGCTTGGCCCAGCGGGCAAACACCTGTTTCTCTGTGATGAAACGATGGTGGTGTCCCCTGCGGTTGTTTTCGTTCTGAAGATACGTTGCACATTCATCAGACTCCCTGGGTTTGTAGTAGTGGTAGGGCATCTTCTTGGACCCCGGCTTTCTTCTGGAAAGATGGCAATAAAAGTACTAATTAGGTAAACGTTTGATAGGAAATGAGTTTTGATTCGAAATTACTTGACAAACTGACCAGAAACTAAAAATTTGGATGTTTTTTCGATGAAATTGTTTTGGTAGGGAGAATGGGTACATAAATTAAAGTTTTTGCAAATGCGCCTGAATTAGCAAAAAGGCTATTTTTCATTTGTTGTCCCTGGATGAGTAATTTGTCTCGCTAAATACAGAGGTTATACAAACTAGGTTAAAATGACTTGCATACACAAATTTTGTCAAATACAATCAATACCAACAGTCTCTACAAAACAAACAAAACCATAGGAATTAAAACTAAATTAATATTATTTCAATATAAGCTAATATAAGATGCTATATTATCACCTCTGGGATAATTTTGCCTGTTTTCATCTGCAGATCTGTGTAATGCTGGCTACTCCTCACACAGTGTGTCGTCACCTCCGCTTTTAATATAAGTTAACGATTGAATATGAGAAACAGAATCTGTATACGTCAAATGAATGAATGATACAATGATCTAGCAACTGGTAGAATTTATTTTGAATTATATATTTTTCCCCATTATGAGGTGTTCAGAAATATCAGTGAGCAATAGTCTTTATTTTCAAGGAAATAAAGTTTTAATCTTTGTTGTTTGTGACATAATCTTACTAAATTTGCATATTACCGTTCATTTAGAGATACTGCTTCGTAGTCTTAAGCTATCTTTAACAAACAAAAAAAAAACACTTTAGACTGTTAAGACTTTATGCAGAAAATAGAAAACCTTTTTTAGCAGTAATTGTTCTTAAAGACATTAGCTAAACGTTGCATCAGCATGCCAGACCTTTCCAAAAGCCGTGATCAGAAATCAGCTGGAAAAATCTCTGCCTGATGAATCATTTGTCATGAAAAGTTTATACGTAATAAGTCTTCTCTTTATACTCACCCGCAGTAATTTGGTGGAACCATCCCATATACTTTAATATTATCACATATCTCAATGGCTATGACCATTGTGAACCAGCCAGTGCTCAACCAAGAGTGGGACTTTTGTCTTTGCAGGAAGAAAAACAAAAACAGTCAGTAAGTACAACAGTTCCTTAATGAGAGCCTGTAAACATAAGATGTGATCAACGTCCAAACCACTTACCTGTCCCGTCCGGTCTCTCTGCTGAACAGATTATCAAATTTTCGCATTTTGTTTGGTGAAATGCTGAAGAACGACAGGTTGCTATAGGTCATCCCGATCCTCTGGATCAATCTGAACAAAGTTCCCTTAGCATCCTTCCAGATCTTATTCGGGGGTCCCCAGAAGATGATTGTGGAGTTGCTGTCCGTGCGCCGCAGATACTCGTTGGGCCGCCGCATCACCCTGAAGACGCTGGAGTGGGCCACAACCCTGAGGGTGGTGCGGTTGCCGACGTCCGTCTCGTAGCTTGACGTGGGGGCGTCGTTCATGCGGATCACGCACTCCGTCTGATCAATGTCATTCCCCGCCCGGCTACCAAGGACATGGCTGGAGCTCGTCACAAGTGCACAGTTGCGACAGTGCAGGTTCATAGTCTGAAAGAGACGATGTAAAACCTTTGCAGCAAATTTAACAAAATTATCTTAGCCTCAATAACAGTGGTGAATTTAATTCATTTTTACGGGCCGCGTCAAATGGGTGAGAACAATTTATTTAACAGGGTTTGTACACTTTTCTCATAGTGACACTCAAGCATTTTAAAGGGAAGCTTTCAAACTTTTTTTAGTTTTACTGTGTATGAAGCAATGCTATGTTGAAGCTTTTTGACCCACATTTACAGAATGTCTCTGAAGCATGATTATCTCTAACAACACAATGTTTCCCCCCGCACTTGTGAGAAATCGCTCTCATGAGAAAGGACTTGATGACCTGTGTGCAGAGACAAAACTTGCTTTTCCCTGTTTATCTCTCCCCTTGTGTATTAAAAAAAAAAGGTAAGCTGTAATTGGAAGTTTCAGGACCCGCATTGAATGGCTCGCAGGAGCTGCACGCTGCGATTTCTCCTTTCGAGAAAGCTTGGTTGACATATAATGAACGTTGTCTGTGGTTCTTTTTGTGTAGGTTGGGAAAATACCTATCAATGATGTCCTTAATGACAAACAACATCTTGTGATACCATTCTAAATCCTACAGCAGGGACAAGATAAATTAAAGTATAACAACATTTGATGTTTTGAAGTGTGTTAGACACACCCTACACACCTGACTGGTCTGAGAAAGTTACAAACAAAATCTAAATATTTTCTACAATTTCTGGGATTTAGCATATTCATAAATAGACATCATTTTGGTCATTTTCGCTGACCAAAATTAAAGAGAAATTTGGTCTAATTTACCTTCAGACAGTGAAAAGTATCATCTTTAAATATCTGGTTTCAACTGTATGAAAAAAAACAAAAAAAAACATCAGATTTAGGCTTTTAATCGGATGTTAGGTTGGACTTTAGTACAAAACTACTAAAGCCCGTTTGAATAGAGCAATTTGAAGGACTTTGTATAGAAATTAAGCACTTTCTGAGCCTTGTAAAGACCTGTTTGAAATTCAGACATTTTTATGGATTTCAAGCACCTGTACACACCCCGATAGAAATGAATCACCTGCTTTTGGCAAACGTATTAAGATGTGTAGTTTTTCACTACTCTTATTTCTCAGTTGGTTCTACTGTTGAAAACAAATATTTGGAAAATCATGGCCAGTTTCAGTATCATTTTACCCCCTAACCCTGTTTTATATCAGACCTCAAACTAAACCTTTGTAGCATTCCACAAATCCCCTAAAACCCCAGCTGATAACCTGTTGAGCAGCTTACCTTGTTACCAAAAACTGGCATGTAGCCATCTCTACCAGCTAACTTCTTGAGGTCTGTAGTCTTGACGGCGTGATGGATGTCCACGTGAAAGGGGATGTAGATGTTATCATTGCTGTTGTTGGAGCCATAGAGGATGAGGAGTGTGGTCAAGATGAAGACGGCGAAGAAGATCACCATCATGTGGCTCTGTTGACCCTGCAGTGTAAATAACAGCGAAAGGATAAATATGAGGCAGCAAACGCACCGTTCTCTCCTTTTTTAATTCACTTTGTACACTTTCACATGTCACAAAAATCTGAAAAGTATGGCACACTAGAAAATAAGAAAAGAAAAAGTTTCTTTTAATACACATTGTGTTTTCAAATGCAAGTCAAAATTCAGCTTTGCCATCATCTCGCCAAAGTGCCTTTCTTTGTAACTTTTTTGGTGGGTCTCCTACGTGTTTGCACATAATTATTTCTATTACACATTGAGTAAGTTGCCATTGGATTCATTTTCTGCAAATATCCAAAAGCAACAGATGGTACATTTGGATACCAGTTTCAAACATGTTTGGTTGTCAAACTCAAAAGGGATTTTTATCTTTTATTTCTCCCCCCCCCCCCCCACTTCCTGATATGCTATTTTAGAGGTTTTATAAATGCCTTATTGATAGCACTTTCTTTCTGAAAATATTGTAACTTGTTTTAGAGGCGGGATCACATACTTGTTTCTAATAAAAGAAGCACATGACGGCTTACACTGTAGCCATGCCTTATATCTGGTTCATAAACATGAGTACATGGGACTGGGTGCGGGGGTTAAAACTGTGCAGCCTTGGTTACTATCTAAAACCATCTGGTTTTTCTCGTACTTTAAACACTCTCTTTGACCTTTAGCATGCTGGTCTGTACCAGTCGAGTCAGGTGTCGGCTTTCAATGCATCAACACTCCATACAACAGGCAAAATATAGTTTTGTAGTACTTGAAACATAACAGCCAATAGGTATTTGATATCTGTAAAACAAACAATTTTCTGCAATATTTTAACCCACTCGTAAAAATCCAAAGAAGCACATTAAGGATGAGCGAGCAATAAACAGACGGTTTATTGCTTTATTGCTGGTTGTTGCAAGTTGAACCAGTTTTTTTTCCAACATGTAATTTCACGGATTGATTTCAACCAAACGGTAAGGAGGAGAGCTACTGTTTAACTAGTTTACCGAGTAGGAATCTGTTTGTTTGTTTTAAATTCTTCCATTTGGTTGGTTGGTTTCCAGTCACATTTGCCAACTGTAAAATGACTAAATGTTGTATTCTGACTAACTGATTGAGCTCAAATAGTACATCTACGGCTTACCTGAAAAAGTTTTCTCTTTGTGAGTGCCATGGAAAAGGAGTTTTTCCAAATTCTTCTCATTAGAGTTGACCGGAATGATGGACGCTCTTTCCGTTAAGCTCTGAGTTCCAGTTTCTTTGGTCTGGCTCTGGCATTTTTCTCTCTTTTCAGCCATTTCCCTGTTTGACTTAGCACAGGGTTGAGGGAGGAGTCATACTCGGTTTATGTTGATGTTTGCAGTAACTGACTACACGCTGTCTGCATGTTCCCTTCTTTGCTCGGACTCCTTCAGACATTTCCACACACTGCATGGTCCCTCCATTTTAGGCCTTCAAATATATGTCTATTTTTTAAAACAGCTTTTTCTTTTATAGTTACTGTAAAACCGGTTGTCCTTTGGGGACAGAAACAAAGCTAAAACTGAGTCTGTGGTTATGGTGCATTAAGGATTGGGCTGAATAGGATTGGGTTGAGCAGAGGCCTGTCCAGAAAATATTGTTAGTACTTGACAATTTAAGATAAATTAAGATAAATTAGACAATTAATCTTAATGAAATGTGCGCAGACATTTTTTGGAAGGATAAAACATAATAAAACAGAAAGTGCCCATGACATGTTACTGCAAAGCTGACAAACTCTGCCAAAAGACAGTTTAATTATTTTCACAGGAAATGATGACGACTTTCTTGTTTAACTGCATGTGCCCACCCTGTTTGGCATACTAAATAACAAATATACTAAATATCAATAAATGTTTGTGTGACAACTAATGAATTCTTTAGTTTTACGCTGATTGAAAACCTTCGGCATTTTAATTAAGTAACTATTGAATGCAGTGTAATGAAACCCCCTGATACTCAACTCAACTTGAGTATCAGGTTGACCTGCTGATATTTTTAGCCGAGTTTTCTTCATCGGTTCATTTTGTTCTGAAAACCTTTTCACCAGCACTTAAAGCAGAGGGGACCTCAGCTCATTAAGTACCATTTCTAAAGACTTGCTGTTACAATTCACCAGCCTCTACCCAGACTGTCATATTTCAGTCACCACGACCTGGCGATAATGTCGAGTTGGAGGTGTGCGGTGCCACACCCTCAGCTGCTTACCTTGGCACTGATCCTGAGCCCCATGTTTTCCGATCAGCACTGAAGACGCGGCCCCCGTCACGGTCTGTCATTATACCTGCCAGCAACAGACGCACGTCCATCAAATCACATTGAATTGCAGCGCGTTTCGTGCAAAAGTGGGTCATCTGTTTGGACTTACAGCACGACTCTCAACGGAGAACCGCTTGGTGTTTTTTTTATTTTGTTTTTTTTTTTACATTACCCAGGACTAACGGACCGGACATTCAGTGTAAACATTTAGACAGTGAAACACCATCTTGCGCAGCCGCTCGTCGCCCGCTCTTAAAAAAGGTTCCTTTCGCCGTTCGCTTCCCAAACACACAGTGGAGCTTAGAGGACCACTAACTCCCCACGAGCGTGTAATGCTATTAACATGCTCGAGCGTTAAACCGGGGCTTACCTTGTCATAGCGGCATGCTGTTTGATGTCTCCCTCCTCCTTCTTGGACCCCATTTTTCCTGCGCCACGTGCTGACGTCACGGCTTCCTTCCTCACTGCAGCACGCGGCGAAGCAACAAACTTACACTCTTTTGGAAGTAGAGCATTTTCTTAAAATGTGATTCTTAATATATGGGAATTGTTTATTTGTCTTACTTGCTGAACTGAAGCACCGAGTGTGCAAGGCAGGAAAAAAAAGGACAGGACCTAGTTTCGTGCTCAGCAACAAAGCGATATTGAATTTGATTTCTTCTTTGTGTGTTGGAATAGTTATTTTTATGCCGTGCTGTTTACTGGCCATAAATGGTCCCACATTTGCAAGGAAAATTAATTTGTGGTGAATGAAGTACAAAACAGATTTCAGTGGAAACTGGGGCTATCACTTCCGTGGAAAAAAAAAAGTCACCATCATTTCAGCATCCGTACAGCATTAAAACTCAACACAAACTGGGTGTGTTTGACATGAGATTTATTTAAGATGAAACATTCTTCAACTGTTCAAGTTCTTCTTTTTTTTGTTGCTTTGCAGCAGATAAACAGTTCAGACACAATAAACAAGACACCATCATTTCAATAATTCACATTCCTGGTGTATCTTTAAGTAAAATGCTTTCAATGAAAATATTAGAATAGTCTTTGGAATTAATCACAAACAATATGTACCTGAAAGGGTGGCCATATAAAGTTTACTCATTTAACCAGGCAGCATAAATTTTATTTACTTGCTTGAAAAAAATGAAAAAATATATTGAAACAGTGCCAGCTCTGTTACACACGTTCAACACGCCAGGCATTAACTCAGGGTTCAGTAACATGCTGATGGGGGCGTCAACAGCATTTAAAGGCTGCAACCAGGCATATTGGAAATATGGATGAACTGCAAAAATGGATACAATGAGAGAAAAAAAATTAAATGGATGACAGTGCATAAAACTTTGCAAAAACAATTTCGGGATTTATTCTCAAGTTTTTGTGAAAAGAAAATGGAAGCCTTATAAAAGCATTCATGTTCCATGAACTTGTGCATCTTACATTCCTAGAGGGCAGTGTATTGTTGTAGAAGTGATAGATCAACACAAAGTAATGACCAAGCAAAAATGGAATGTAATAGCATTTTTACAAATTACAATCTGACAAGTGAAACTAGGATTTCTGCTCCAGCCTTTCCTACTGGCTCTTTGGTTGCTGTTGGTCTCTACAGATCCTTCAGATATCAATGTGAGTTTTCAAATAAGTTTGTTGCACTGGATTTTATATAGGCTGTTAGAGTAAACTTGCTTAAACACAAATGTGTTTTATATAAATATATTTTTTATTTGATAAAGAAAATAAACAAACACACAAAAAAAGCAGGTCCTGTTTATTTAACGTCAGAGTTTCAAGTACTTTGTGTTGGTTGACTGTATACAATCCTAAGAACAAGCTTTGGAGTTTGTTGTTGTAATTTGACAATTTATGAAATAGTTCAATTGGTATGGAAACTTTTGCAAGAAACTGTTTGCGAAGAAAACAGTTTCTTGTAGTGAGCAAGCGCAAAGAAAGAACAATAGACAAGCAATAATGAAACTCGTAATTTTTTCCTAGAGTTCCGTAATCGCAATGTTTGATATCTTGAATAATTAAAACTTAATTCATCCGTATCTAACATTGAAAAGAAACGATTACAATTGCAGATCCTCTCCGTAAAGTTGCAAACTCTATTGTAGCTTTCGAAGAATCTGATAGATTTCAGCTCAAGGTAAAAAATAAGTAGAGTAAGTGTTAAAATGAAGGCACGTGACAAATATATGAAAAAGACATGACTGCCCTTTGCCCAGCTAAACACTTTTTTCTCACACACGCACGTGCACTCAAGCACACAAAAATGTTACAGCAAGAACAACAAAACAAAAGTCTTTGAACATCAATATCTGAGATACTTACATATCTGAGATGAGGGCGCCATTTCTCAGAGTTTCCATGCAGGATGTTTGAACTGTATATTGTGCTGTGTTGCCCATTTGGCATAGATGGCCTTCTCAGTGATGAAGCGGTGTCCTCCACGCTGTGTGAACTCGTGGTATGTATACATCCTGCACTCACTGAACCCCTTTTGCTCATAGTAATGGTAAGGAGCGTCGCTGTGATTGGCTCGGCTGTGAGGATGAGAAAAACTCAACATTTAGGTCAGAATTTACTGTAGAAGCATGACATAAGGCTGAAAAACATAAAAATCCATCCTTCAGTTTGAACACATTAATTAATTGAACACACTTAAGAAAATCGATGGTTCCACCTTAACATTACTTTTATCATACTTCAACAAGGTGTAGAGGAGATTTTTTAAAATTAAGAATTCATAATGTTATTGTGAAGTAAAAATTGTGTTATTGTTTCTTTTGAGAATTTTATTTATTTCTTTAGTCATTTAACACTAGTATTGTTTAGTCTGTTTAAACCATGTAGGTCAAGGAGTCTTTAAAGAATCAGTTAGATAGGTTTCCTTTTGACCTCTCCTTGGAAAAGTTTCAGTAGGTTGTCAGTAACTAAAATCAGGCGCCAGTGTTTCTTAACAGATAACAATAAACAGGTTAGGTAATTGTAGTGAGATGGAATAAACCCTAAGGCTTAACACATTCCTCCATTAAAATGTCACAAGCTAAGGCTACGTGCTGAGTGAACGTACAAAGTCTGATAATGTTCTTGTTATGCAAAATTGTTCCATTAGTAAACCTGATTTTTGGAAATGCACCTATTTTTGAACAAAGATGTTTATCATCTGAACAATTAACTTACCCTAGGAATGGATGTTGCATTCTCTCTATACCCTGTTAAGAGTGACTGTGCATTAACCTGTTCGACTGGAATTGGCTCTGGGCCAGTGAGTGACCACATTGTATAGAGAGTCCTATATATTGTGAGAGCTTGCAGCTCCAAATCAGAACTCATTGTAGGTACAGCTGTTGTGCTGTGGTTACTGTGTGTTCTCCGTTTGCAAACGACTGAAAGAAAGATTTTGCTCTTTGCCATTTGCCAGAGTCTCAAGCCTGATCTGTTACTACAGATTAGATATTGTTTTTTTTCCACAGTTATGTTTTTATGGGATGCAAATATCTTGTTTGTATCCCAGGAAAACATAATGATATGAATCATAGAAATTTTATATGGTTTAAAGACCAATTTTTCTTAGTCAATCTTCAAAAAAGAATTTTTAGTTCTCACCATGTCAAGAAAAAAAGTCAAAAGAGAACCGTGGTGTTACTCACAGTACAAGAACAGAACCACAGTAATGCCCATTTTGATGCATGTTGATGGTTAAAAAGAAAATCCTCAAAAAATAACTATTCAATATCATTCTTGCTATTTTAAGCAACTGCATAGAATAGCATATCTTTTGTATCAGTTTTGTTACATTTAGTATTTTTATTCCATTTTTAGCACAGAAAATGACGCCGTCAATAGAACATCAATAGTTATTTAGTCATGCAGCGTTATTTGGATGGAAGAAAATTTATAATAATAATAATCAGCTTCACTCTTGGCTCCCATTGGTCAGAAGGGAATCTTAATATCTACAACTTAGCACAAGTAATACAGGATAGGGCTATGGGTAGAGGTAGCAATAGTCTCCATAACATCCATTTTTAAGGTCTTGTATACATCATAAACAGGCCAATCATTTTTGGAGGATGCTGAACATGAAAATTATACAGACTACTTAAAAAAACATCACAAACTTACCTACAGTAGCTATCATCAATCATTCCATAGACACTGATCCTGTCACACATATCCATAGCAAGGATCATCGTGAAAAATCCAGTGCTGAGAAATGCTCCAGTTTTCATTCTAAACAAAAGAAATAAAGACAATAAAGCCATTGAGAGTTTGTACACTGACTGAATACAGTATCAATAACGTTGATGCTAAACTTGTGACTCATTTGAGTTCTACAAAAGACAAAAACACAATTTTTAACTTTAGCTGAATTAAGATTGTCCTAAACTTTCTCCTGAGTAACCTGTGGGTGGTTACAAAAAAGTAGCCCCTAAATGAAAAATCCTATTAATTACTGACCAGCAGATATTTTGCTTTGTGATAGTATTTAAATTGCAATAACAATGTCAGCTAGAGATTGGTGTGATCACTGGAGTTCCCAGTGAACTTTTGTTGGTGAATTCTTGGCTGAGCTGTGTCCATAATGGCAACAGCTTTGAAGCCTGAATGAAAGAACACATTGAATGGGATAAATTTCTCATCACATATAAACAGATATGTATTCGATATTTAAATCTTCTTCACAGGCTCTAGTGGCGCAATCGGTCAGCGCGCAGTACTTATAAAACAGTAATCTGAAAAGCAATGCTGAGGTTGTGAGTTCAAGCCTCACCTGGAGCACATCTTTTTCAACAGGAGAAAAAAAACTCCACGAGAAATTACTAATAATTCATCCAAAACTAAATGCTAATGTTTAGCATAAAAATAATTTGTTAGGGTTTAACCTGAAGTAAAGAAAATTTTACATTTTATTATCAATTCTCTCTGTTTTTTTCTAGACTTGTCTATAGCAATAGCCGGTCAAAGAGGCAAATTTTGTGTATTTGAACCATGCTTCCAGGCTCCAGTGGCGCAATCGGTCAGCGCGCAGTACTTATAAGACAGTAATCTGAAGAGCAATGCTGAGGTTGTGAGTTCAAACCTCACCTGGAGCACATCTTTTTCAATAGTAGAAAAAACTCTACAAAAAAATACTAATAATTCATTAAAAGCTAATGTTTAGCATAGATATAATTTAACCTGAAGTAAAGCAAATTATAGATATTATTATCAATTCTCTCTGTTTTATTCTAGACTTGTCCATAGCAATAGCCGGTCAAAGAGGTAAATTTTGTGGATTTGATCCATACCTCCACGCTCCAGTGGCGCAATCGGTCAGCGCACAGTACTTATAAGACAGTAACCTGAAGAGCAATGCTGAGGTTGTGAGTTCAAGCCTCACCTGGAGCACATCTTTTTCAATAGTTGGAAAAAACTCTACAAAAAATTACTAATAATTCATTAAAAGCTAATGTTGAGCATAGATATAATTTAAGATTCAACCTGAAGTAAAGAAAATTATAGATCTTATTTTCAATTCTCTCTGTTTTATTCTAGACTTGTCCATAGCAATAGCCGGTCAAAGAGGTAAATTTTGTGGATTTGAACCATGCTTCCAGGCTCCAGTGGCGCAATCGGTCAGCGCGCAGTACTTATAAGACAGTAACCTGAAAAGCAATGCTGAGGTTGTGAGTTCAAACCTCACCTGGAGCAAATGTTTAGCAAAAATTATCATTGTAAAGTGACAATATAAACAGTCACTTTTTTATTTTGGGTCTTTACCAAATGGCTGAGCTCTGTCCAAAATGACAATAGTAATTCATCTGATGATAAAAAATGGCGAATGCCATAAGGAATGGCTTATCAGATGAACAGATATCTTTCAGACATTTGAACACTTTGTGCAGGCTCCAGTGGTGCAATTGGACAGTGCACGGTACTTATAAGACAGTGACCTGCTAAATGATGCAAAGGTTGCGAGTTCAAGCCTCACCTGGAGTATTTGTTTTTGTCAGAAAACAGTCACATTATCATATTGGCTCTTTGGCACGTGGCTGAGCTCTGTCCAAAATGGAAATAGTTGTGAAGTCCTGATGACAAAACCTGGTGAATGGGACGAAGAATGCTCTGTCACATAAATCTGTTCATTTTTCTGTAACTTTCACAGGCTCCAGTGGCGCAATGGTCAGTTTACTATAAGACAGTAAACTGCAAAGCGTTGCTGAGGTTCTGAATTTGAGCCTCACCTGGAGCAAATGTTTTTCAAAAGGAGAAAAATTAATAATCATTAGTTAGGCACTGAAGTAACTCATAACTATGTCTAGTTAGTTGGGGAATGAGATGAGAAACTTCTCGTGAAGTAAACAGATATGTGTTAGATATCTGAACCTTTGTCATAGTCTACAGTAGTTGTTGCTTAGTGTGCAGTACTTAGAATGTTCAGTTTATTAAAACCCTCTTTTTTTGCTACTTAAATCTATGAAAAAGTGTTTTAGGAACTCTGATAAATGTGGTTTGTAATCCTTAACATTTTATTCATTTTGATAATTTTAACATTTATTGCTTACTCAGCTGAGAAACTAAACCCACCTGTTTTTTCCAGTTTCATTCTGAAACACTTTGTCACAGTACTCAATCTTGTCTTGGGTCATGACATACATGTTCAATTTCGGGTACTTAACGGCCAGCTTCAGCAGAACATTGAAAATAATTCCTCCTCCATCTTGCCTCATGTTCCTTTTGGGGCCCCAAAATACATAAATCGTATCGGTGGACTGCTTGAAGTAATACCGCTGGTTTTCTACCAGTAGAGGAACACTGGTGTGAGACACAACCCGAATGGTGGTACGGTTCCCGACGTCTTTCTCGTACCCTCTGGTGGGGGCATTGTTCATGCGGATCACACATCCCGTTCGGTCAATTTCATCTCCAGCACCGGTGCCGAGCATCTGACCGGAGCTGGAGACCACGGCACAGTGGCTATAGTGAACATCCAGAAACTGCAGAGAGAAGATAAGACAGATTTAGACATTGTTACACCTCAGCCAGAATCAACTGATCAAATCAACAAAAGACAATAGATTATGTCTGTGTGTATATATATAAAATTTTGTATATATATATATATTCACATATATATACACAGTGAATTCTGTTTGGCATTAAACTATAACTTAGCCTGAGCGTCTAAAAGAGTGAGAAATGACTGTGTTAACTGACCAAGTTTTCATAAATAGCAATGTATTGTTCAAATGCAGTATAACTTAATAATTTTTGACCATTTAATCACTTTAATCAAGTTTAATCATTACAGTGGATTAAACTTTTCATCCCTGGCAATTGTTTTGCAAGCATAACCTCAGAGGCAACACAACATAAAGAGCTAATTAATTACAGTTTTATCCATTTCAAAAACTTACGTTTTGCATCTCTTCCAACAATTATAGCAAAAATGTGTTCTTACCATTACAATTTTTGTTATTTACTTTGATTTTTAGAGTATATCTCAACTGCACAATTTTTTTGATCTGCGACTCCCAGTGGGGTCCCAACAGCCAACTTTCTCAAGCTTTGAATAAAGGCTTAATAATGAGTTATAAAAGTGTGGAGAAATTGTGAGGTTTTTGCACTCAGCAGCACATCAAATCATTTTTCATGTGCGTTTTTTTAAAAAAAAAAAACATTTCAACTTTTAAGACTAGTGACTTTAGTATACGAATTAAAAAGTTAATCTATAAAAAAAAATTAAACAAAATGCAATTACCTACATAGCATCAAAACATATCTTTTTCACAGATATTTCAGCATATACAGAAAGTTAAATTTTTTTTTTAAATTTTTTAGCTGATTATATCAGTTCAACTTGTCCCAACAGGCTCATGAATGAGAGTTTTATGTGGGCCTTCTTGTCTTGGATCATCACCCGCCTCACCTTGGTCTGTCTCTGCAGGCTGACCCTGCTGTAGCCCCTGAGTGATGAGTTTTGTGTGGCAGGTGAAGAACTGTCCCGTGTGATCGACACTCCAAACCAGAACAGCAGCAGGAGGGTCAGGGTGAACATGGAGAACCACAGGCGAAGAATCTGCTTCGGCCGCATATGGAGGAGCAGCAGCTTATGTCTGAAAGCTGCTGCCCTACATTCTTCTGTGCACATGTCTCAAAAGCAGGAGTAAATTATTCCGTAGCCGTAACACATTCTCCATCCAGAAAGCTCAGACTTTGCGTAACTCCAAGGGGTGAGAAATACAACTCGGAATCATGGTGATGAGGGATTTTTGTATCAGGAAGTTTCCTGTAGCCCGTGCAGTGGAGTTTAGGTTCATTTTCCAGTAGTCATAACTTTACATTTCATCCTCCGGCAGAGAACAGATTTGTTGTTCTTATTTACCTGTGTTTGTATGTATAACTCTCCTATAATAGTTTTTCTTCTTGTGTAGGCCTGGCAAAGATCTGCCCAACTACTTTTGTAAGAGCGCTGTGATTTCAGACGAAAAAAACCGCAACCGGAATTTCTTTTCAAATTAAAAATTTCAAATCGATTTCGAAGGTAAATACTGCATTTATTTTCATTTTATATTTAGCAGAAGTGTTTTTCATCTGTGTGGAAATGCATACATATTCATAAATTTTCACTCCAACGACGTCTGCTACGGTTTCGGGAAGTAAACATGTTTTTATTCTGAAATATGATTGACAAAATCGGAAGCAAATGTTACAACCGCGCTTATTTCGGCCGTGCACTAACAGGCAGTGGCTTTCTGCTACCTTTAATGACTGTGTGTAAAATTTAAATGTGTAGAATAAATTGATGCCAATGTTTTTCAAATACTAGTCTGGTGGGTTGAAGGTCTTTCACCTTTATTTTAACCGTCAATACTCAAAATATATACAAACTTAGTTACTCTGTCACTTAGCTGTGTTGTTAAACGGTGCATATTGAGTATATGAAAAGTTCCATGTGTTTTTATTTAAATAATTCTATATTTTGCATCTCATATATTTTAATAACCTTTACAAACATTTTTGACTTCGACTGACTTCATTTCAATAGATAAGTAATGTGTTTAAGTATGGGTTAAAAAAACACACGAAAACATTATCAATAAATAAATATTTGTGTTGAATGTCAGGACAATAAAGTTTAAAAAATGCTGTTGCGTACGGAAGAGTAAAGGAAAATTCGATCTGTTATCATTTTCTGCATCGTTAGACTTGCAACAAAACACCTGCAAGTTGATTGGCTCCAGTAGTCTGTGTCCCTCCCTTCCTTTTTACTATTCGCTAAGTAAAGGTGCATCCACAACTATCCTCCTCCGATTGGCCGAAGGGCGTGTCAAACATCCGTGTATTGTCAGAGTCCCGCCCTGAAACAATGCCGTGCTGCCTTCACTGACGGTGACTTAGGGATGCCCTTCTCTGACGTCTTGGATGCTGACGGTATGTTGGTGTCGGAGAGGGATTATGTTATTAGTTGTTGGTCAGTGTTACTGTACTTTGGTTGCTGCTGACACCTGCGAGGTGTCAGTTCAGAGCTCCATCGACCGAGTCATTCCCTGATGCCGTGAGGGGAACTGACCGATGGTCGAGGCCAGCGAAATGAGCTAGCTAATGTTAGCATAGTGGACATTTCAGAGCTGTCCCCAACTGATTTCACCCTGGGTTTAACAGTTTCTTATTTTAACCCAGAGTTTAGTCTTGTTGTGTATTTTATGTAGAAATTCATGATGATATTTAAGTATCGTTTTCTGATATTTGTGTCTTGATTTTAGTTTCAATCTCATTTTTAAGCATCCGAATGCGGAACCGTTCTGTGATTTGTTCATACTTTTCGCTATTTGGTTAAAAACGGCAGCTTTTATCTGAAGACGGGGACACTGGAAGTAGCTCCAGATTAATAAGTGCAGGCTGTCGCGCTGTCTGCACTATCAGTGTTGATGGCTGGGGAAGAAGCTCGTTTCTTCTCAAGTTGCTCTGCTTTTAAATCCAAGCTTGATTTCCTGAGCTTGAATCAAATCACTTGTTGTTTGCCATGAAGCAAAGAATCTAGTTATAAGTGTATGTATTTGTACCCTGTATCTGATATTATTTAGCAATGGATTGAGCCATTTCACATGCATCAGAATGGATCAATACGTGGAGGTCCTAATAAAATGGAAATCCTCCTACAAATAGAGGAGGATCCACAATATGTAGTGCTAAACTGACAGCTATTGCTTAAAGTCACAGATTAGTCTGGGTCTCTACATCATACGTGTGCTTTGCTGGTTGTGGTTGTATCATCTGCAAAACATATATAAACATTGTCTTTTATCCTCTGTTTCTAAACTGAACATCACTCAGAATAATTACTGTGGCCTTAAAGTGTTGTTCTTGACCAAATAGGAAATCAATTGGTTCCCTAATGCTTTTGCCATGCTAATCAATACCTGCAGCAGTGTCCAAGTCCATTCCTCAAGATCTCCTATCTTGGAACTTCTCAATGCATTCGTTCTCCAAAACTCCTGCGTCAAATGGCTCAAATCCCTCATTGACATGTCATTCAGCTCACATGATGTTACGCCTATAAATGTCGGCTCAAATGCAACTTTTATCGATTATTTTTGAATGAGTTTTAAGTGGCATCTGTCGATGTTCTCTAGATTTTTTAAAACTGTATTTTACGATCTATGAAAGTATCACACCACTGCTGTCATGTCCATTTGAACACAAATTGTGTCTCACGTGTTGTTGTGTCTGTTGTCAGGTACAGATCCAGGGGTGGATGACAGCAGAGAGTGTGATCAGCGAGCTGAGTGTTGGCTGGTCTGAGAGCAGAAAGGAAACCGTACATTTGGTGGATGTGAGGGACTCTTGAAATGTCACTGAGACAACCAGACGGGATGTCTGTCGCCCAGGCTTTGGCCATGACTGTGGCAGAGATACCGGTCTTTCTCTACTCCGCATTTGGACAGGTAATGCCTTTGGTGATAACTGTTACACTTACTCACAGATGTTTTCAAGCCACTTTGATTTTTCTTTTGTCACATTTTGCATTAGCTTTAAGATGCTGCTTGTTCAGTAATGTCATCCAGCAAATGCCTGGGGCCGTCACCATACAGCTGTGTTTATGCTGAGATTACGTACATACAGTTGGACTGTCTTCACTGATAAGATGATTTCCTAAGGCAACTCACTGGGTGTTTAATTCTATTTATGTCTGTCACAATAAAAGGGCTGAAACCAAGATTTTTATTTTTCAATCTTTTCCTTTTTAGTCGTGACAATGAATACAATTCCTGAAGTCTGCCGTTTCTCTCCATCCTTCCTGCTTTCAGTCAATTTTTTCTCAGCTGAAGCTTTCCCCGAGCCTGAAGAAGGTGCTGTTTGCGACGGCACTCGGAAGCGTAGCGCTGGCCCTGACCGCTCACCAGCTGAAAAGAAGAGGCAGGAAAAGGAAACAGGCAGACCATGTGAAGGAGGGCCCGAAGACCGTGGGAATACCCGAGGCTCTGCTGAAGACAGGAAGACCTTCATCTCTGAAGAGAGGTTTGCAACAAAAACTAATAGTGGGAGTTTTGTAACTGTAACTTGCAGCTGTTTGGTAACGTCCTTTCAGCATCTGTCACATCCTGTTTGCAACAGGCCCCATTACCAGCCGCCAGGTGATGAGCCCCAGCTCTCGGAGCAATGACACCATGAGTGGCATTTCCTCGCTGGCTCCCAGTAAACACTCAAGTTCCTCACACAGCTTGGCATCTGTTAGTTTCATACTTCATGGTTTTTCCACCGTTTGCATGTCTTTTTTTTCTTTTCTCCCATTTTTCGCCTGTGTGTTTGACGTCTATATGTCTGTGTGGTTTGTTCTGACACAGACTCGAGTCCCAAACTCTCCTAATCAGCCGATTAACCCCTCCACTCCATGGGAGGCGCAGCCTGTGGTGGAAGAATCAGGAGCAGTGGAGGATGCTAATGCAGAGAACCTGTATTTGATGGGTGCGTTGTCATGTGATATTCATGAACCTTGAAAGTTATTCTCTGCTTTGTTTTTTGATAGATTAGAGTCATAAAAAGTTATATTCCTAGTATATAAACAAAATTATCTCGAAGGTTCAAAGAATTTGTTGATGCATTCACTGGGTTGAGGGTTGATTTTTTTTTCCTTTATTTATTTTTTTGCTGTTTGCATCTCATTTCTCAATCATTTTCTTCTACCATGTTGGAGCTTGCCACAATAACCTTTCAGTGGGAGAAACATAACACTCTTTATGCCACTCGGCAGGAACGTAAAGAGCTGATGTTATGCTGATGTTTCAATTTATATTTTTATGTTTCCCTCTAAACGAGGACCAGTGCTTGGATGTCACCATTTTTTGTCTTTGCAGCACAGAAAAAAAGTGCTGTCTTAGCACCTAGACATTGCTTAGTCTGTGCAAAGAAAAACTGTCTTCAGGGACTGGATACATAATGTTCTGTGTTGAGCTTGTTAGTTTTGCTTTTGACTAGAGACAAAACAAAATGATAAGAAACCAAACTGTTAAAATATCATTTCTCTTTCCTGCAAAACTGTCTTCAGAAACTTGGGATATTCTGTGGAAAGAATCAAACATGTTTGGAAAATGCCTATGTTTATGTGGGGAATTGGTAAAATTGTGGACAAAAATTGTAAAGTATCAGAACACATACAGGAAAACAACCTTAAAAGTGAAAGCAGACTAATAACTCAAAACACCAAGGGTATAAAAAAATACAGCAGCGCAATTTCATTCAAGAATTATTTCGCTGACACTCAGATGAAAAGTAAAAATCCAACGAATGACCACATGTTAACCCAGAACGATCCAAGCACATTTTGTCTGCAGTGAAATTCCACCTACATCTTTTGATTAAGGCCTCAGAGACTCACCGGACAAAACCATGTTGGCTTTTGGCTCTTGTAAACCCATCCATCCATTTTCTGTTCACCCTTATCCCTAGCGGGGTTGGGAGTTGCTGGTGCCTATCTCCAGCTGCTTTCCGGGCGAGAGGCGGGGTCACCCTGGACAGGTCGCCAGTCTGTCGCAGCTCTTGTAAACCAACACGTTCAAATCAAAATGTGAATAATGGGCACCTTTTATTTGCATGATGTGACTAATTTCCTCTCCAGTCCAATGCGGTTTGTTGAAAACTTAAAGTCAAACTCTGGTCACGTGACAGACATCGTGAGTTACAGGGACATTAGTAATGCATATGTAAGTAATTAGTTCATAACCAGTTTGCACTGGTACCCCAGTTTACCACTAGAAGCGCTTCTCATTTGATCCGTCGTGGATAAGAAAGTCCACAGCGGTGCCGGGTTTTGTCCTTTAGATGTGTGTATCGCATCTGTGAAGCAGGTAATACTTAAACATGCTTTGTTGTAAAACAGATTTTATTTTTTTTTTTTTGATTCTCGCTCTGTAGGGATGGAGCTGTTTGATGAAGCACTGCGAAAGTGGGAACAAGCCTTAAACATTCGTCACCAGGGCAACTCGGCCTCCAGTAACAGCAGCCTTGCTCTGCAGGGAGCGGCATGTGGAGACTTTCTCACGGTAACCATTGCTGCTAGAAAACCATGTTTTAAACACTTGTGGCTCTTTTGAATTAGTTATATTTCTGGATTGTTTTATATTTTCCTTTCCTCAGTGAAGCATTGCCAGATTTGGTGTGGAACATGAATTGTATAAAACCTTTTTTCATGATACCATAAAAAAAAAAAAAAAATCTTATTTTCCATCTTGCTTCTAGAACGAAGGTCGTAATAAACTGTTTGCAGAGAAGCTGGAGACACTCCTGCACAGGGCGTACAACCTGCAAGAGGATTTTGGCGGCAGCATCCCAGCGGAGAGCGTGCTAGCCGACTTTGGTAACCAGCTTCAAGATGTACTTTTCAAAAATTCAAAATAACTGTGTTTGACATCATCAATGAAATCAGGATCTGAAAAGTTAACTGCAGTTTTAATTCTTGGTTACCCATATTGTTGTGTTCTTCGCTCTCTGTCTGTCCGTTTTCAGAGAGCGAAGGAACTCTGATCTTGCCTCGCGTAGAGAGTTTCCACCGGCTGCAAAACGAGGATGCGGCTTCTGTTTCGTCTGATGACTCGTTTTTCTCTGCTGCAGAGGTGAGCCGCTCTCCTCAACAAGTGAAAGTCGTCTTGTCTGTGTGTCGGCATGTGCACTCGAAACGCAAACTTGCACTTAAACCTGTTTTTATACAAAAAAATAAAGAGTAATTAAAAAAAGAATTGACAAAAAAAGTTTTTTTAAGCTCTTGTTAGCACGACATGCTGTTTGTATATGACACCAAGAAATGCTGTCATGTTCTCCATTCTTGTAATTAAAAAATAATTTCTATAAACAATTTTTTCTGTGCAGCTGTTTGAAAATATAACTTTAAATGAGATCTACCCACCAATGAAGCCAGCGGCTCTGTATGAAGAAGCCTTGTCTCTGGTGCAGGAAGGCAGAGTGAAGTACAGGACTTTAAGGTAACCATTGTAGATTATTTATTTTGTAGAAGTAAGAATATTTTTGGTCCCTATTTCTGTAATAAATTACGTCAAATTATTCCTATGCAGTTACCCTCACCTGTTCTGCAGTAAATGTTAAATTACTTTAGATTTTCCACTAAAAGAGCTCCAAACTTTCCTTCATAAGCTGAGCGTTTGAATATTTCATTTCTTTGTCACATCCTACTCCCCTCAAGTGGTTAAAAAAAGGAAAATGTAACTTGTTTTCCTCCAAACAACAGTCTGAAATTCACTCTTCCTCTGTCTTTTTGCCAGGTCTGAATTACTTGAATGCTACAGTGACCAGGATTTCCTCTCCAAGCTTCACTGTGTGAGACAAGCATTCCAGGTATGTTCCTGCGCACAGGAGTCATTATTATAATTATTCTACTCCTTGTCTGTTAGTGCACCTGCAGACAGGAGCCTCCTCAGGTTTCTTTCCTTGAGCCAAGTCCTGACTAAAGCTACCAGGACAAAAGAATCACCTAGTGTGTCCTACTTGCTAAAATAGATAAAACCAAGAGTCTTCACGTACTTTTTTGTGAACAACTGTACAGCTAGAGATATGAAGTGTTTATTTGAAGTGCATTATTTATTTAAAATGTCATTGTAAAGTGGGATAAATGCTATCAGTGACTGAATGTTCCAAATTTTAGATGACGTTAATAAACTGGTAGCTAGAGGAAAATTTTATAATTTAGAATCATTTTAGATCTCAGTTTGACTTTGAGCCATTCATCAGAATTGTATTAATGTCTGCTTTAATTTCTGTTTAAAAAAAAACTGATAGAATTTTTTAAACAGAAAAAATATATCAGAACCACAAAAATGATGTCTTTGAACACCAGAATAAAATCAAATCCAGTGTAACCAGTTGCATGGTCATGAAAACCAAGGAGCCCAGTAGGAGCTCAGGTTCAGACCTTTTGGCCAACAAGCACAGTTGTAATTGCAGCAACATAAAAATGTAGATAATATTTATGTATCGCATCCAACTAAGTTACTAACTGTAATATTTCATGTTTTTCTTTTTTGTACAGGTCTTGTTATTAGATGAAACTCACCGCACGTTTTTTATGGAGACAGGGAAACAGATGGTGGCAGGGTTAATGGTTAAGGCTAACAAGGTATGAGTGAATAAATTAACTTTGATATGGATAAATTAACCTGCTTTGTTTCTATTTTTTAAAGAGATCTAAATATTTTATACATTTATGTGGTGACCCAGAGTCCCAAAGCCTTCCTGGAGAGCTACGAAGACATGCTGCTTTACACCCAGAGAGAAGAAACGTGGCCCATTACAAAAATGGAGCTGGAGGGTCGAGGGGTGAGTGCTCATGTTACTCTGATCATTTAAAATGTTCTACCTGAAATAGCTAAATACCGTTGGGTTCTTTGGTCGCCGCAGGTGGTGTGTATGAACTTTTTTGACATAGTTTTGGACTTTATTCTGATGGATGCATTCGAGGACTTGGAGAGCCCGCCCTCCTCTGTGTTAGCCGTTCTGAGGAACCGCTGGCTGTCTGACAGCTTCAAAGAAACGGTTAATTTCCACACTTATATTCTGAAGCACATTTACCATCAGCATGCATTTTCTGACAATTTCTCTTAAGGGATGTTTTCTTCTTCCTCTCAGGCTCTGGCGACCGCCTGCTGGTCAGTGTTGAAAGCTAAAAGGCGACTTCTTATGGTGAGCCTAACTGATCCAAATCTTTTCGCTGCCTTCTTTTTATTATTGATGTAGATTTCTAAATACTTGTCCTAACTGCACTCCGTAGGTTCCCGATGGGTTTATCGCCCACTTTTATGCCATATCAGAACACGTGAGCCCAGTTTTAGCTTTTGGGTTTTTGGGACCAAGGCAGCACCTGAGTGAGGTTTGCACAATTTTCAAGGTGAGAGCAGAGCATACACAGACAAGACAAAAAAAATTCAAAATGAAATTTTGAAATTTAATTTTCAAGTAAAGAAACTTTCAAGCAAAGTTCCCACTTTGAAACTTTTTGTATTTAGAATTTATGATTTATGATGAGTAACTGAAAATCAGACATATACTTGCCTATAAAGACAACAGCTTTTCAATGTCAGTCCTTAACACTGAACGTGATAGTTCAAGATTCTTAAAGTTTTTGTACCTTTTAAAAGTATCAAAAAGTTCATATCTATACTGAAGTAGAAGACTTTCTTGGTGTCTTAAATTCAGAAATCCACCCAAACAAGAAATCAAGGCACTAAATACTGATTCAAACTTGTAATAGACCAGAGAAAATCATATAACTATCACCTCCATTTTGAGTTCACCCAGTTCTAGATGAAAGTTATTTACTGCAGCTGAGATATTAACCGTTTCGAACCTCACTTCAAAAATCCTAAGGTAATTCAGATGGTTGCAGTTTGCCTTTCTGCCACTAGATGTCAATAAAACATGTAAATTTGGTTCTTTATCAGACGAATTGCTTCACAAAAGTGCAGCTCGATTTTCTTGAAGTAACTGAGTTGTCTTCTCGCAGCTCCCCAGGAGCTACAGAAATCTGATGTGTAAGTTTCTTATTATGATATAAAAAGTATGTCATCTTCTCTCATTTTTACCTGCAGCAACAAATAGTGCAGTACCTCAAAGATATGTTCGACCACGATAAGGTCCGCTTCACCTCCGAGCAGTGCTTGGCTGAGGACATCCTGAAACTTTCCCACCGCAGAAGTGAGATCCTACTGGGCTATCTGGGAATCGACAGTCTGTTGGAGCTCAACGGAGCTATGCCCAGAGACGCTGAGGGCTCCTACGGGACCAACAAAGTGTCATGAAGCGCTTTGACAAAGAGTCTGAACTCCGTGTTGATTTCTGCACCGAGCCCTTGTTCTGTTATGCACTGAGAACCAGCATTATTCAGTCAATTATTCATCCCTTTCTCCATCTGTGCTCTTAAACACAACTACATGTCATCGGATTTATTTCACCAGGTCTCCTTGTTCCTGCTAATGAAGGAGAGCGTCTGGGTCCTGGATTCCTCCTGTCCCTTGTGTTGCCGCTTTGCTGAGTATCCAGACTGACGACTGTAATCAAATTATCACAGACGTGTGAGGACTTGTTCCTGCCTCTACCTCTGCCTGGGGTGATTCAGATACTTGGTGAAAACACGGCTGACAAACACTTCTAACACAAGAGGACTTTGCCTTCTAGTGACCCAAATGAAATTCTTCTGAGAACTGTGTTCATCACCTGTGGGTTCGGGCTGAATACCTGCCTTCACTCTGACGAGCAAAGAGAGAACGTGCTTTTGTATTTTATGTGAAAAATTGAAGGTCATTTCTTAATGAAATCGCTGCTGCTTATGGTTATTGAGGCAAGATGGCCGTCACCTTAATTGTCCCTAAATCATCCTTTATTCCAGGAGTTCCATTGAGCTGAATAACACTGAGACATATCTGAGATGGGGTTTTGAACAAATAATCTAAAACTGGTATTTCACAATCTGATTTGGCTTTTAGTTTGAATTTGAATTGATTATTCCTTTTGCGGACTGCCATACAATGACAACTAAATACAAGCATAAAGCATAAGTTTCAAATCAGAGAAAAACTGAAAATGGCATCCAAAAAAATTTGTCATGTAACACGATTTGTGACAAATTTTTCGACAAATGTACAATCAACATGATTGAATTTTTAGATTATGTTCAGTTTTAAAGCTGCTGACCAAGCTTTTTGTTAAATCGGTTTAGATATAGCTTATCATTTATAGAATGTGTTGTGTCGGGTATTTTTGTTGTTTAGTTATGTGATTTTTACTTAAGATAAAATCTGCCCTCTCAAAAACGAGCTCCCATGCATAATGCCCCTAGTGACATCACTCAAGTTGCCTGATCCAAGTTCCTTTATTTACACCTATTTATCTGTTCAACCTCAGGTGTGTTTTTAATCAAATTCCCTCTTCAAAGGTAAATGCTACCACTCTATCCAGCTACAGCAAAACAGTTTGAGCCTTATGTCAGAACGCTTTTATGGATTTCAGGAAAATTTGGTAACAATGAAACACGGAAGCTGTAAAAAGGACCGGTGCAGGCGAGACCCATGGTAGAATCAGTCATTTCTCTCAAACTTGGACTCAAATGTGCAAAGTTAACACTCCATGCAGCTCGGTGCAACTTGAAATGTTTCAGAAGAATTGATCAACTCAGTTCTTCTGCTTCTTGTAATGTCACTGTCCCCACATAAAAACAAATTCAAAGTTAGTTATCTTCTTGCATGTGCTTTAAAAAAAAGTTTTGTGAAATCCTACAGTGGAACTTTGCAATTTCATTGTCAGTGTTCGATTGGTATCAAACAGTACCCCTTGAGAGTATCTTTAGTCTTCTAAATGGAATATGTTAAGAGACAAAGTTTAAAGTGTTAAAATATTTAACAATAGCACCAAGTATTGGAAAGTATACTTTTGGAATCCTAAATTAGATTTTCTGCAATTGGGTTTAACTGCATCAATGTTTGTCTCTTTGTGTGCTACATTTAGTCAAGAACATCTTACAAGTTCAAACCCTCCGAGAAATTATACTAACTGCAAACACACCCTCAAATCACTGCAACGCACACATTAAACTGAGATGGTGCCAAATGGTAGAATGACTCTGGTGTCATGAAGGCTCGTAAGTGAAGGACAGAGTTGTAGCTTACCTAAGTGCACTGATGGAAGCCCCAAAGTTTTCTGGGTCACAGAAAGCCAAATTGGGCAACAAACTGCCTCACTAAATTAACCTTTCTTGTGTAATCCTTTACTACTAGTGCTACTATTGTAAAAATGGAGGCACATTATAGTTCAGATATTAAATTGACTTCATTAAATAGATCATCAAATATCTATATTTATTCGAATTGCTGGAAGTGCAGCGATTAAGTTTCCATCTGGTTACAATTTTATTTCAGTAATTTATCAGACCAATAGCTCTTTGATGTTATTACTTCTGTTTTGTGGCAGTGATGATCCAAACCCTGCAGTTGTTCTGATGCACTTCCTAAATTTATGGCTGAGAAACGCTGTTAATCCTCTTGTACTATTCTGACTGCGCATCGTCTGTACTGTTGCTTTTATTGGACAGCAGTCTGACTTGAACCAGAGCTCCAAATGGGCGAGGCATTTCTGCAGTAAATGTTTTGGTTTGCAGCTTTGCGTTTTTAACCAATATGCACTTTAGCAGGAAGATGAGGTAGAGAATATTTCTTTTCGTAAACATCTGTGTGAGAGTTCCCATGTACAAATTGTCAGATTATTTATTGCAACACATGACTTGTATGTATAAAATGGAGCATATAGCTGCTGTACAGTCTAGCAAAATTATCTTAAAAGAAAAAAGTATATTATGACAAAAATTTTGCACAATCACAAGGTTTTGTTGAAGTGCCCATCTTGAAATTGTTTTAGTTTTGCTTTGCGCGATATGATCTGAGATGAAATGCTTTTATTGTATAACTTGTATGCATTACGGAGAGTTTTCTTTCCCTTCCCCTTTTCTGAACAAATGAACTGCTTTTGCATGTTCACAGTGTAAGTTCTTTAAAATGCATCAGCATAGCATTGAACATGTAGACCCAAGCTCAACCTGATTTCTTGGATATTTTAAGTTCTAATTAGAAAAAAAATAAAAAAATATTTGAATTACAATTTATGCATGGGCTGGAATGTTTAGATGATTTTAAACTTTAAAGAGGGTTTCAGAAGGCCAAAATGTTTATTACGCCCCCAACCCCGACTAATGTATTCTACATTACATGTGTCTACATTCATGCCTTTTGTCTTTTCTATTGTTGTATTGCACTGTCTGTAAACTGATTTACATCCTCCGTATTAAAACTTATTTTTTGTTATTAAATTGGTGTTACTTGGCTTTACTTTTGATACCTTGTTACATTTCGCATTAAAGTTGGAAGCAACATTGCCTTTACATTTTAAAAAAGTGCAACAAATACAAGTGAGTTTATTGAAAATTTATGTTTTAATAAGTTTGGATGGTGATTACTATCCATTATACACACTTTAATCCAAAGTTTGATGTTCACATGGATGCTTTTTTTCTAAGGTAAATCCTAAACTCTTAAGTGCCAGACCACTGGATGTCCTAAAACTAAATGTACTCAGCTGAGCAACAGCATCTTTTTTTACTGGGTTCTTGTGATGTCTTGAAAAGTCTCTATTTCATACTATATTAATATTATAGTATTATATTTCACAAAATATTAATTATAAAGGCAGATGAATATTTTTTGCAATGGTGAACATTTTTAAGCTGTGTTGTTTCTGGTTGTAGTTTAGCATAAGAAGCTCAGCTGTTCTGCATGTGTGCAATTTCATCTTTCTGTTTATTTAATTTTTTTATCCAGCCATATATTTATGTTATAATGCTATGATTTATTAGGTTTTTTTTATGCTGGATTCTCAAATAAGACAAACTGTATCAAATTCAATGTCACTGGAAAACATTATTTTAATGAGATAAAAACACTCAGTTTGAAGTTCAAGTATTATTTCCCTTCCAGCTTCAATGATTTTCTAGTTCACGTATAGTGATGCACACCTATGTATTTCATTCTTTGAATAGTTATTCTGTTTTTTGCAAGAATATTTAATGTGTCAGTAGCCAATTATACGACATATAATTTCCAAATTATATGTCGTAAAATACCTAATACTTTTTTTCTATTATTTTAGTTTTTGAATGAGTGAACCAAGTTGCCAAGTGATTTTTTTTTTTCCCCATTACATTTTTTTCCATTCAATAATTCTCTTAACCGGACCGAGGCGGTGATTGGACAGATCCATCGCTGCCGGGATATATTTGAACACACGGCTCGTCCCCTCATTGGGTGGATCTGTTTTTGGGGCGTGGCACTAAACTGCCCCGGTTGTGTCCGGGTAAGATGGCGTTGGAAGAGCAGTGCTCGGCACCACCTCGATGGCAGGCAATATCAGTGACACACGTAGAGTTTCCCGAGGGTACGTAAAACTCAGAGTGTTTGTGTATCGACTACGTTCGTCGCTTTTGAAAATTTCCAAGCAGCGTGAGCGGGTTTGTTGGCTAGTGAATGGACACAGCCTTCAGTAGCTGTCAGATTGTGAGCCTTTGGTCAACACCCGGCACACCGGGGGCTGCGAAATTGTGAGACATCTCCGCATGCGCAGTTTGTAACAGTGCTCACAATGACGGCTAGCTTACTTGCTAGCTCTCTTAACATGAGCTTTGCTTTCCCCTTCGTAAATTAAAATGTATTTGCAGTCCTCTGTAACATATGTTTGACAGCACTACAATATTTCTGATTTAAGCATACAAGTTACAGCTATGCTGGGAGCTATTAGCCATTTTCACGTATAGCATTATTACCAGGACTGCTGCTAACGTATAAAGCTCCATGGCCTTGTATTAAAAGATATAAACAGCTACAATTCACCTGAATTAAAATGATTTCCCCGAGTTTCTTTAATAAAAACTTAATGCGCGTCTTACCTGGTCTCTGTTCACTATTCAGGTTCAGGTAGTACTGGACCTTACGAATGTTTAATTGTGTGTTTTTTTTTTTTTTTTTTTTTGTCCTGACTATCAGTTCTTATTAATTCTGTTTCAGGGGATCTCACGGGAAAACTGCTGGCCTACATCAGCCTCCTACCCGTAGCTATTCTTGTGGGCTTTGTCACTCTCATAGTGTTTAAACGGGAACTGCACACGGTAAGTAGTGTTCATATTTGCTGTGAAGGTGGTAATGGGTCTCTCAGGTACCTGAACAGATGTGTTAAGAAGCAGAGCAGAAGTATGAGAGCCCTCATATGCTGACTGGGTTCTCCCCTCTTTTTACAGATTTCCTTCTTCACTGGAGTCCTTCTAAATGAAGGAGTGAACTGGGTTCTCAAGCACATTCTCAGAGAGCCGCGCCCTTGTGCAGGTAAGTGAGGGAACAAGTTTTTCTTATTTTTCTTTGCCAGGACCTGGCAAAACATCATGTTACTTATGAATGATGTACGTGATGAGACGATTTTGTTCTGATGACATTTAAGTATTAACCCCCAGCAGTATTCAGGTTTTCTTTTTTTTTATTGTTGCGATTAAACGGATAGGATTTGTGTACAGTGCCTTAGGAAAGTATTCCAAAAAATTTTTTTCTCACATCTTGTCAGAACTACAAACAATGGGGAAAGAGCTTAAAACTGCATACATTAAGTGAAAGGAAAATGTCATTTTCAATATTTCTTGTAAATAAAAATAACTAAGTGATTTATTTTTGTTTTCAATATTTTACTAAATCGGTTTTCTTTGACATTATCAGTTGGTATTTGGTTAGGACTTTAACTGGGACATTTTACCTTGTTGACATAGTTTAATATAAATCATTCAATTGTGACTCTGGTTGTGTGTTTACAGTCATTGTCTCTCTGAAAGCTGAACTTTTGCTCTAGTTTCCAGTCTCAACAAGTTGTCTTACAGGATTGTCCTTTATTTAGCACCATCAATCTTCCCATCTACTCTAATCGTAACCATGCTGCCACCATGCTACTGTTTTTGTTGTTGTTCTTTAACAAACCCCTGAGCCTTAAGACATTCCTGCTTTGAAAGATTTTAGGTGTCATCGTGATACTAATATGCATTTTTTTGTGAGGGGCTGAATTCACCAAGACATAAAGTTCAATGAGCTGCTTACTCTGGGATTTGCTACTCTGTACATTATTTTTATATTTCAGATTAGATTTTAGCTTTTGTTCCAAGATCTTCTTGCTTTGTTCTGGGATCTTGCATAAATCTGCAATACATAGTATGTTGTTAAAAACTCTTTTTGTAATATATATTTTCAAGAAGCTCAATGGTTGCAGAAACTTTGAATATTGCATTATTTTTCTTATGTTCTTCCTCTAGGAGCTCATACAACCGTTTATGCCGAGTACGGCATGCCCTCGAATCATTCCCAGCTTATCTGGTTCTTCGTTGTTTACTTCTTTCTTTTTCTTTATTTAAGGTAAGTTTGTTTGTCTCTGCATTTTGGGCTGGGTTTAAAGGTCATGTGACTGAGCTCAGTAATTTAGGATTAATCTAATTGTCAACCCAGTATCGTTAAAATTCAGTATTCACCAACATTGTATGATGCACAATTACTCACCTTGGCACTTTTTTGTTTTTTTATTGAACTTTTTTGATTTTGTTTATTTGAGAGGGTATGTGTCATTATTTGAAGTACTGACAACATTTTTTTAATCATTTGTTTACTTTAACAAGAGGAAGGATATAATTGTGTGTAGTGATCATTTTCAGAATGCATCAGACAAACAATGCTCGATGTGTGGACCTGCTGTGGAGGCACGTCCTGTCAATCATCCTGCTGGGCATGGCGTCGTCCGTCTCATACAGCAGGTAAGCATCTTCTCCCGTCATCTTCTTCCTCTAAATCTCTAGGATATTTAATGCGAAAAGGGAATAACATGAACAAGTTATTGTTGTAATTATTGACATAGTATTTTCTTGTGACGTTGAATATTTTTGTCTTAAAGATATGAAGTGTTTATCGAACGTCCCTCTGAAGTCTCTGTTTATTGAGTCAAGAGCAAATCTAACGAGGGGGTTTTAAATAGGAAACGAGATACAAATCATTTGGCTTTCACATCTGCTGATGGGTCACTGTGACATAAATTTCATCATTTCCCTAAGGATGGACTCAGCAGATGTTTATGTGCAGCGCAAAAATTACCGACCATGCGGCCTTGCACAGTAAATGTATGCCAGAAAACTAACCGTGATCACTTGTTTCATGCTTCATAGCTCCTGTTAGTTCCAGAAATATTTTTAGATACTGTTCATCCATGTTTTAGTATTTTTATTTTTAGTCTTAATATATCAAACCTTTTCTGTTCGTTGTTACTATAAAATCTGTCCCTTTCACCAAACTACTTTCCCTACAGTAATAGCTTTTTTTTTTTTTGTCTAGGTTTATTTGCATGGAAATCACATTTCTATGCAAATTGTTTCACATTTTGTGAAACAAAGTCCCGTTATGTTGAGGGAGTATGTATGTTGCTAAAGATTGCCTCCCTGTTTAGTATAGTGAGAATTTCCTTTTAACTGTTGAAAGTTGTATCATTGATGTTACATTATAAATAAATGTGTTTATCATGATTTCAGTGTATTTCAGGGATGGACTGAGTAGGAAAAGAAAAGTATGACATAGTTTTCTTAATATTCCTGGGATCCACTCTCATTCTTGGTGTCCTACTTCCTTTCTGTCCCTCTTGTTCCATATTCGAAGCCTGAAAACTGTAGAAATCCATTATTTAATTTCAAACTTGGAGTATTTTTTACACAATATAAAATGAGCGTAAGGGACAGCTGAGAATGGAATATTCAAAAGTAGATGTTTTTTATTTTTAAACGTACTTTTGTTGAAACCAATGTGCCTTTTTATTGTGTGGCATATCTAACTCATCTGACAACCTCAACTTCTCAGTTATGAGTCCACCAAAATGTCTGAATAAATAAAAACGGGCTGCATTGGTTTTGCTAAACTTCCCAATTTGAGTGAATCTTACAGCAGATAGTGTTTTATAGTGTAGCATGTGATTACGTAATGGTGTTATTTGATCATTCCTGCAAATTTGCATATCATGTTTGTAAGTGTCCTGTCAGTAGTGACTGAGGTATACAAGGAAAAAAATGGTTTAAAATGTATCTCTGTCTGGTAACATTTTCTCATAGCCAAACTGCCTCTTTTCCAACAACATTAATAATGTAGAAGGATTTTTTTTTTCTTCTTATGAAACCCTCCTTCTGTCATCTCCAGGGTTTACTTGTTGTATCACACCTGGAGTCAGGTTTTCTATGGGGCAGTGACTGGCAGTACA